GTCAATATAGACTCGTTTTCTGTATCTAGACTCCACATAATGATGTAAAATTGCTCTTAAAAGGAGGCTTCTTTATTTTTGTCCATTCTTATGTTTGTTAAATTGAATTTTCCTGTGTCCCTTATTTCTTTAAAGAACGACAAATTATTCTGCTAAGCCAGAATCTGAGGAAAGAGTATGTACTAGTGAATAATATAAGCAAATGATCTACATATTTGATGGAGAGAGGGTGTGGGAGGTCCTACTCCTATGTCTCACTCTACAAGTACATCAATAGGCTTTAATTCAGAATTACAGCAGAGGATATTTTTAAGAAATCTTGAAGACAGAGGTCCTTAACCCCTTTTTTGTATCATAGACCTCTTCGGCAGCCTGGTGAAGCGTATTGTCCTTTTTCAGAATAATAATACACAAAATATATAGGATTACAAAGGAAAACAATCATGTTGAAATAGCTATCAAGCTATTATAACATAAAAAAGAAAAATCCCAACAAACAAGTTCATGGACTGCAGGTTAAGAACTCTTATTTTAAGGGAATGCTTATCGCTTATAAAAGGCAAAGGTTAGTAGTACCAGCAGGCAGATACCGTACTTCTTCAGAGAAGAGTGGAAGGAGCTAGAAGAGAGAATTAGTGGACAGTGCTAAGAGAGTATTGGACTTTGGATGCAGAAGACCTAGGTCTGAGGTCTGGTTCTATCATTAACTACCCAGGTAAACTCGTGCAAATAAATTCTCACTGGGTTCTCTTAGGTTTACAATGAGAGGCCTGAACTAAGGTCACTTCCAGCTCTAACAGGCTACAACTCTAAGTCTATGCCAGAGATCACCATGCTATAAAGAACAGTGCAGGTACTTAGAGGAAAACAGGGATTTCAGTGGAATTTTCTTGGGAAAAGATCATCTATATGTTGCAGGGAAATGTATAAGGTGGTGACAACTGATTCTGGTTGGCTCTGACAGTTTCCCTATGGAAATACTTGAAAAATAGAATTATTTTGACCGATGATCCAGCTGACACTAATAGTTCAGCCTGTCTTGGGCAGGTTTAGGGACATGTTCTAGATGATGTGTTGTGTTCTAGGAGCCCATTTTCCCTCCAATTCAGCTTGTTAGTCTTAGATCTTCCCTACCAAGGAGAGGCAGTGTGGAATAGCTTCAAGGACACTGAATGGGGTGCTGAAGTGTGGGCTCTGCCACTTATTGTAAAATCTTGGGCACTTTGCCCTCCAGACCTCAGTTTCTTCATCTGTAAAATGAAGAGTTTGGACCAATGAATTCTAAGTTTTAAATTTAAGTCTTGTGAGATATGAGATCTAGATACACCTGCTATTTAGAGCACTCCATCCTCCCAGACACCAGGTTCATGATCTCATTGTTATCCCCAACTTCTCACTCTCACTTACCTTACATATCAAATCAGCTTGTCAAATTTTGTCATTTAAAAATTTCACATTTCCTTTATATATCCCCTTCTCTCTACTCACTTAGTTACATCTCTAATTCAGGCCCTCATCAGCTCTTGCCTGGATTATTATAAGAGCCTTCTAATTGATTCCCTGTCTCAAGTCTCTCCAATTCATCCATCTCACAGGTGCCCAAGTGATTTTCCTAAAGCCCAACTCAAATTCTGTCACACACTCACACATTCCATGTCCACTTCACTCCCTTCTTTCTGGTAAATTCCAGTGGTTCCTTATTAGCTCCAATATAACATATAACCAACACTGCCTGCACCCTGGCCATTACCTTTAACCTCCTCATTCTCATCAGGCTTCTCTTTAAGCATTGTCTTCCCCAGTTGGACTGTAAGTAACAACTGTCTTGCTTTCTTACATTTGTATCTCTAACACTTAGCACAGCACCTAGTAGAGGATATACTCTTAATAAATGCTTGATCATTCATTATCATTTATCCATTCATTGTTTGGCATTGCAAAGCTCTTCAAAACCCGGCCCCTTCCTACCTTGCTAGGAATCATAAATTTTGCTCCCCTCCATGCAATTCCACAATCCAGATGCCCTGGTCTACCTGCTATGCCACCTCCCACCCTTGGCCTCACACTGGTTCACCTCAGGCCAAGAATGTTCTCCCTCCACACTGTGGTCTCTTAGAATCTCTGACTTCTTTCAAGAAGCTCAGATGTCACCTTCTGCACGAAGCCATTCCCAGTCTCCCCAACTCCCTGTCTGCTAGCACTTTCCCTTCTAAGACTATTTTCTGTCTACTCTGTACATATCTTGTATGTGACTATTTTTTTACATGTTGTCACCTCCATTAGACTGTGAGTTTCTTGAGAATAGGGATTGTTTTTGCCTTTCTTTGTATAGCCAATTTGTAGCATTGCACTTGGCATATGATAAGTGCTTAATAAATACTTATTGACTGATTAGGAAAGGGATCTAGGGCTGGAAGGGGTCCCAGGGGTCAGCTAGTTCACCCACCTTTCACGAATCAGGAATTTGTGGTCTCCAGGAGTGGAATGACATGGTCATATAGGTCCTAAGCAGCAGTGCCTGGCCTTAAATCCATGTCTTCTGATGTTAGGCCCAGTGCTTTTCCCACTGAACCACAATGTCACTATTATGTTTTTCTTGTTATCTTAGACTCCATTTAGAAATATATTCCTGCACCCCTTTGCCTAAAGACTCCTAAAATAGGAACAAAATGGCTTTTCCCTTTGACTAGTAAACTGGATGGTGTTTTGGAGAAAGAGTGAGTTGAGAACTGAAATGTGGATGGTTTATTTAGTAATGTGAACCTTGGGGGAGGGGAATAGTATTAGTGAATGATACACAACAGAGGTATACCAACCCTGTCTGGAACTGACCATGAACAGTAAACACCAATGGGCAGAGACAGCTTCTTTGTTTCCTGGTTCTGAGAATCATCCTCCAAATAACAGTTTAGGCAGAGTCCGGGTTGGACCTAAAGGTGCCACCTCAGCTTGCCACTAGAAGAATCCCAAATAGCATGCTCCCCAACTATGGAAATGAGCCAAAGCAACCTCTAGCCTAATGAATTATTCAATAATTAAACTACTGAAGTCATCAATTCCTCCTAATGTGGGGGCTGTCCTGAGGTCAGAGCTATTTCTTAGCTTGAGTAAAAGCTCAGTCACAGAATTCATATACCCCCCTTAGTAATTTAAGCTTCTAAAGTGTTCTTTTTAAATCAACTCTGTCAGGTAAGTAGTGCAAGTATTATTATCCCCATTTTACAGATGATGGTCTGAGGCTCAGGGTCACACAATGAGAAAGTGGTGGAGCTGAGATTTGAATTAAGATCTTTTGACTGTGGGGTGCTGCGCTAAACTACCCTTTGTAGGCTGACTCTAAGGTCTATTAGGGCTATTAGAAAGAAGCATCTGTTTCATTAATAGAGGTTTCTGAAGCTGAATGCAGGGATAAAAGAGGTCAAAACATGAACCTCAGAGATATAAAATTGGACAGAAGACTTGATCCTTCTGACACCTTAAACTTGAAAAGGGGAAAACCTAAGGGACTATTGTCAAAGAGTCTAAGATAGAAGGAACTTACTAGTCAAATCTGCACCCTGACAATATGCTATCCTCCTATAATGTTCCTGTCAAGTGGTCATCTAGTTGCTGCTTGAAACTCTCTAGTGAAAGGGTACGGGAACAGTATATTCCATTTTTGATGCCTCTAATTATTTCAAAGCTTTTATGTGTTCGTAGAATCATACACTCAGAACTGAAAGAGACCTCGAGTCCAATCTGCTCATTTTGCAGACATTTTCTCATATTGAGTCAAAATCTTTCTTTCTCCCTCTTCCACATGTTAGCCCTTTAAATACTTGAAGATGGCTATCTATCATGCTCCTCCTTTTTTCTTGAAGGAAAGTTATGGAAGGGTCTCCAGCATCCTTGCAATGCTCCACTAGATAAGCTCTAGTTTGTTAGTGTCCTACCTAAAGGGTGACCCCCATGATTGAACATGGTATACCAAATATGATTTGATCAGAGCAGAGTACTGTGGGCCTATCACCTCTTTATTCCTGGACATTATGCTTCCATAGAAGATGATAGTCAAAAAAGTAATCCTAAATGTCATCTACTCTTTCTACTTTGTGGTCATCTGGGGACATAGAGTCATGGAGGAAGCACCAACACCCCTAGCTCTGAGCTATAGCTCCCAGCTATAGCCCAGTAGATAGCAGGAGCATAGATTGGTAGCTGAAAGGGACTATAGAGGTCATCCAATCCAATACTTATTTTAGAGATGAAGAAACTGAAGGCTAGAAAGGTCAAGAAACTTGCCCAAACTCACAGATGTAATAAGGGTCAAAGCCAGGATTTGATTACAAGTCTTCTGACTTTAAATCCACCCTGGAGAAGCCACACTCCCAAATAGCTTCAATTAAGGATGAGAGTTCAGTGTCAGAACTCAATATCAGTGCATTAAAGAAATCATTCATTACTAAAAACTGAACAGTATTTGGAGAAAAAAAATACTAAAGGACTTTGATGAACACTGTTCAGTCTCTTTGTAGCTCTACTCCACTTTTCTAAATTAATTGCCAAGGTAAGTTGTAGGAGCTCTTCTTTTCAAAATTTAAAACAAACAAAACAAAACCAGGGTACACAAATATTCATTTAGTTTTTGATGCAAGGCCTTCTTTAGTAAAGCCAAACCAATTAGCTCTCAAGACAGTCCATTCTACTTCTGGATAGCTCAACTTACCTTACATCTAGCCTAAATTTGTCTCTCCATGGGTCATCTATTTTCCCTCTTAATTCTTCTTACAACTTCTTCCATTTCTAAGAATCACAGTATTTAAAAGAACCATGAAAGGGTTTCAAGTCCACTAGAAGTTGCGCTAAGGTTCATTTGGGAGCCAAGTAAACAAGGTCACACAATAAGAGCCATTTTGTGAACAAATCCTTTCTTGGGTTGAGACCAGAAGATTCTTCTGATCTCAGCTCCCCTGCAGAAAGGAAGGCAGGGAACAGACTGGAGAAAGGAGAAACCCACTTACGCCAAAGCAAAGGCCACCAGTGCCCCGACCACCACCACAAAGTCCAGGATATTCCACAGGTCTCGGAAATAAGATCCATCCTGCAGGATCAGGCCCTGGTCTATCATCTGCAAAGGAAAATTTTGAAATTCATTGAATAAATTCAAGCTGCTCCTGAAATGAACAGGGAGAAGGATGATGCTTGTTCTGAGTCTTGGGCTATTAAGCCATGTCCTCAATACCCCCAGGGTCTCCACTGGCCTTATTTCAGTGGGTTAGCAAGAGGTCTGTGAGTATATTAAAGACAAGGAAAGAGTGGTCCTTTCAAATAACAGTATGGGGAGGGGTTATAACCTTAGGTCCAGGTTGGCCTAGAGAGGAAACATAACCAGAATCATTGACTGCCAAGAAAACTTACCTTGTTCCTCCATTTATTAATGTCCTAAGAGCTACTGATTCCCATACTTGGAAAAACCTAGATAGGCAGCAGCTTAGGTATTAAGTAACTGGGGAACAAGTTGGAGATAAAGAAATATATGTAGTGATTAAAAAGTCTCTACTTCCCCCACCCCTTAGGGATTATGGATGAATGACTAGGGGGAACAAAGATAGTTGTACTTTGTTGCCTTTTCCTTTTTTGTATCCCCAGTGCTTAACACATTGCCTGGCACATAATAGGTATTTAATAAAATGTTTATTGATGGATACATTGATAGTTGTGGTTGGATAAAGCTTTGAGTAGAATAGGTTTTGTCCATTTTGCTATTCCTCTTTGGACTAGATCCCTAAGGCTCCTTTCTGCTGCTGGTAACCTAAGACTTTATGTACTAGCACCAATAACCTAGAAAAGATGGTGGATCCATTTAAGCTCTATGCATAGATCCTGCCAAAAGAAGTTGCATGCCTTGCAACTTTCAGATTCAGCTCTACCTGGAATACAGGTAAAATATGAGCTACTGTAGGCAAACTGAGACCTGCCCATGACATAACTATTGAGAACCCTCCAAATGACTACCTAGAATCTTTTCAGAGATTCATTTTTCTACCTTTCCCTGAGAGAGGGAGCTTGTATTTGGGTCAAAGATAACTTGACATATGGCACAGATATCTCCAAGGAGGAAAAAAGTTACTGTGCCTACGATGTCTTCTTGATTATGAACATTGTACTTACATCATCTCACAAAGGTGTATATCTCTACTATTTTTAATTGCCTATAAGAAAATAAATTTTTTTTATTGTCCTTCATTTCCTCTTATGTAGTTCCCTCAGTCCCTTTCTTCTATTTTCTTGGCAAAGATGAATGAGCAAAATTAGTCCACGCCTACATCAAGAAGATTCTCTGGAATTCCACACAGTTTCTCATATATAAAATGAACAGACTGATGCTAAAGAAGTGATAATGAGGGTCACTATGTCAGTGCCTTCAATGGCCAGCACAATTGAAGCAGGTTCAGAATTAGAAGAACAAACATGGGGCCTAAGTCAAACCCAGAACTTGACTTTCCACTTTACCCACCCGACAGTATCTAACAACTAGGAAGCTTCCTCTTTCTTTCAAGAGTCTCACCTTTATGACCATCTCAAAAGTGAACACGCCAGTGAAACATAGTCAAAATACCTCAGACCTGCAAAACAAACCAGTAAAAATTTAGGGGCAGAGATGAGGTTTGATCACTAGCATAAAATGGCTCACCCATAGCTGCTGTTCCCATGTATACCCCGAGGCACCTTCAATCACTTGTACTATGGAACAATGGCTCAAAACTATTGTCATAAGAAAGAGATCAAAATAAAATGGTACAGTTTTTCCTGGGCCATGAAAATTTAAGTCTTATCCTAGGCTATTATTATTCCTTCTCCTCATCCAGAAACTCAGAGTTGGAAGTAATTTCAGAAACTGTTTATTCCAAACTCTTCGCAAGGTTCCCTGCAAAATACCTGAGAACTGATCATCAACATTTGCTTGAAGACCTCCAAGGACAGAAAATCCATTATGCCTCCCAAGTCAGCCTCTTCCATTTATAGATAGCTCTAATTGCGAAAACATTTCCCTTTCATTAAGCTTAAATTGCCTCCTTGAAACTTCCTAGTTCTGCCCTCTGAAGCCAAGTAGAACGAGTCTTTCTTTAAATACATATAGCTGTCAATACTGTAGAAACTTCATATAAAGCCTTTTGTGTGCTTCAAATACTTAAATACAACTACCACATATCACACCTCTCCCTGTCTTCTCTTCTTCAAGCTAAATCATTTCTAGTGCCTTCAGCTGATCTTCATCTTTCATGACCTTGAGACCCTTTACCATCCTGGTTGCCCTCCTCTGGAAGCAGTATCCAGAGATGAATGCAATACCCTAAATGTGGTCTGACCATGGCAGAGCACATTAGAACTATACCCTCCCTAGTCCTGGACATGACGCTTCTTTTATTGCGTCTAAGATTGATTGTCTTCCCTGTTTTGGCTTCCGTAACACACTGTTGATTTATATTGGGACTGAGCCTACTAAAACTCACACGTCTTTTCCAGATGGATTATTACTGATCTATATACCTCTCCCACTTTGTATTTGTGGAGCTGACTTTTTGAACCCAATTGAAAGGCTTCACATTTATCTCTATCAAATACAGTCTTATTAGAGCTGGTGCAATGTTCTAGCCTGTCAAGATCTTTTTAAGATCCTGAATGCAATGGGTTAGCTATCCCTCCAGGGTTTATGTCATCTGCAAATCTGATAAGCATACTATCTATCTCTTTATCTGAGTCATTAATAAAAAAAAAATATTAAACAGCACAGATCCAAGCATAGATTATAAGAACACTCTATTGGAGATCTGCCATGTTGATATTGGATCATTATTAACTTTTTTAGGTAAAACCAGGAAATTAGTTCAACCTAACCATGCTATTTTCTAGTTCATCTCTCATCAGAGTAACAAAGATACTTTATCAAATGCATTGCTCAAATCTGGGTAAACTGTATTTATAGCATCCCTTTTATCTACCTGATAATCCAGTTATTAAAAGAAATGGGATTGGGTTGGCAGAATTCTTATTGATGTCATGATGGCTCTTTATGATCATTTCCTTTTCTAGATGTTCGTTAACCATTTCTTTAATAATATATTCTAGAAGAAAATTTCTTGGCTCTTTCCCTACATTTTGTTCCTATTATAGACCCCTTTGGCAATCTGGTGAGGCCAATGGACTCCTCAGAATAATGTTTAAATGTGTAAAATGAAATGAAATGCGCAGGGCTACAAAGAAAACCAAATACATTAGAGTAATTTCATATATATATGCATACACACACACACATATGTATATATGTATGTATATATCAGTTTTATGCAATCAAAAGTATCTATTTTATCTTTGGTAATTCCTTTTATATCTTGTTTGGTTAAGCACATAACTACCCATAGTTATGAAAGGAATATGAGCTATTTCTCTTTTAGTTTTTTAAATAGTATGATCTTTAATAATCAGGTCACATGTCCCATTTTGAAATGTGATCTATGACATAGTAAGTTGGTCTAAGCCTAATTTCTGCCAGAATGTTTTGCAGCTATCCCAGCAGTTTCTGTCAACTAGGGAGTTCTTTCCCAAGCAATTTATTTTTTCTGGTTTATCAAATACCAGGTTATTGAGTTCCATTCTCTGTTCCCTTTTAAATAGATTATGTTTTTCCAGAGCCATAGTCTAGTCATAGATCTCATCTCAACCTGTCCCCTTACATTAGAATCTATACAGTTCATCTTGCTTGATACTCATACTTTGTGTATTTATGTATTGACATCCAGCTTTTGTTGTGGATTACTTTCTTGGATTTTCTGTCCTGTGAGTTTCTGGTTGCCCCTAGTACTATTTTCTTCATATATTATAGCTACTCTTTGCTATATTTAGCTTGGTGTGTATTTGTAGAAGTTTTCTCTCCTTTTTTAAAGTCTTTTTGATTAAATCTGATACACTCCAGGCAAATATATTCTTACCAGCCTTAGAGAGATACAATCTGTCCTTAGCAGAAGCTTATCACTCTTACATTTTACTCTGTGGTCAAAAAATTCAAATTCTGTTCTCAGGTACCATCTTTTTAAATAGTCCTTCACTTTTAAAATTTGCCTTCTGAAGGCCTTGATTTAGATCAGAAGTAGTGACTGAAGTATTGCCTTTGCCCCTGAGGTCTTCAGTTTCTTGGCCAACACTTAGTAATATTTAGTAATGCTTTCACAATTTCTTCTTGCCGCAATATGTGTGCCCCCATGAATCACTGCAAGGTGGTAGTAGCCATCCAGTCTAATAAGTGCTGGACAGTTAGTTGTCTGTCATAGTTGGGATACATTCCCTGGGAAGACAGTAGATCTTTCTACTGTTGTTATCATATCAACATGAATATATGTTTGTACCTCTCTGCAGAGAGTAACCAACCACCACTACTTGTTTCTTCTTACTTTGACCCTTACTAGATGGTTCTCCCTTGACAGACCCCATATACCTACATCAACATTCATTGAGAATAAGCAGCTACTTTCTTCTTAGAGTAGACATTTTAGCTTCAAATATTCAATGGTACTCCTTCTTCCCTTTCTCCTCTTTGTGCCAATTTTTAACTTTACAAACTCCTTAAATGTTTGGCCACAAGTCTCCTCTAGTTTTTTTATAGCCTTTTTCTTCATCATTTTCATACTGAAGTCCATTTCTTTTTAAAAGACCATTTCATCCTCCAAGAAATTAACTTCTTTTGTGTAAAATGACTCACCTTCATTATCTCTCCATTCCTGTCTAACTAAAGCCCCTGGGATCTATATCATTCCTAACCCCTGACTTGTTCTTTTCTATCTTCAGATATTTAGACATATTCCTGTGCTGGACTCAAGTTTTGCCCCACTGATGGTCACTTGCTTCCTCCAAACACCTGAAAGCTCTGATGGCAGCCTAGTCACAAAAAGAGAATAATATCAGCGTGATCAGGAGGAGCTATAAGCCCTAACATTCTTCACACCTTGCTATGATTAATGGGTATGACAAAGGCCAGGGATATAAGCAATTCTCAAAACTTTATTCTCACTGATTAATCTTCTAATTTGTAGAGTCTTTTTGCTTTATCTGTCCCCCAGATATTCTGGAAAGGGGTATTGGGTAAGGAGGAGGGAAAAGGGGGAGAGGATAGGAGAAAGGAGTGAAGATCAAGAATAGAAGCCCAAATTAGGGAAAGGGGTGGTGAGCAGTCCCCATTCACCCACTTTGTTCCGTTCTGAGTTGGTCAGGACAGGATCCTCGGCAGCCAAGGCGATGCTGCTGGCTGCAATAACCAAAAGGATGCACATCTCAAAGTAGCGTAGATTCACAATGTAGTGGCACGCCCTTCGAATCCTGTGGGATAGCCAAATCACCAATGAGCTGGCACGTCTCTCTAGCCCTCCCCCTTGGCTCCCCAGACTCTAGGCCCCTTCATTGGGCTGGACTTTTGCCAACATAAAGCACAAGGGAATACAATTTAATTTCCCAGGCACCACCTTTGATTTAATGCCCCAGTGGGAGAAGACTTATCAGATTGGTTAGAGGCTACAGTATGTAATTCAAGACATAAATTCTATATAAGCATGTCTGAGCCTTCTTAGACATCTGAAGCCAGTGAGAATAAACTCAGAGCACCTAGATGTGCTGACCCCCACTTATTCTTGATATCCAGTCTTCAGTGCATTCCTCGTTCTTTCTTGCCTCCAAGCACTACTTAGATTGGTTCATAGTCTATAAATTGTTTAATTCTACAAGTCAACTAATAGACAACATGCCATTTTCTCATATCTCAGAAGGCTACAGAGGGCCATTTGAAAAGTCTAGAAAAGCCCTTTCCTAGAAAAGTGTCTTTGCCTCCTCTCAACTTTTTCCCTCCCTACCCTATTTACACTTAGCTGTTCCCGAGTACACTAAAGGAAGGAAAGCAAAGCAGGGTGTCTCACGGGTTAGTGGTGCTGAAGATAAACATGGAGCTATGGGGCACCATTGCTTTGCCTGTGCTTGAACTCTTTTCCTTCTTTCGCTTCTTCTCAACTTCTTCTCCATCCTCTTTAATCTCTGCCTCCTTTAAGGGGCTGGCTTCTCCATCTGTCTTGTTGCTAACTGCAAGAGAAACAAACAGGGTCATTTGCAAACTATGTTACCTACCAAAACAGTACTAGAGCATTGGGCAGGTTCCTAGGCATCTGGGCAGATGTACATGAGGGAAACGGCTAACCTCCCTAAGCCACTGAACAAGAATCAAGCTGAGGCAAATACTAGAGAACTTACTCTATCTCCCCCTTAATCTGTCACCTGTCATCTGTAACCTTCTACACCACATGGAAAACTGTTGGAAACAAGTAGCTTGCTAATCAAAATAGCCAACAAGAGAGTAACACTATCAGAATGGGATAAGTGTCTGATCACCTAGAGTTATATTATAGACAATACTACAATATTATATTATATCATGTTATATCATGTTATTATACTATACTATGTTGTATTGCATTGTATTGTATTGTATTGTATTCCTCCTAATCTGGAGAATTATCTATATTATAGACAATGCTGCAACACTATATGAGAAGCTATTGGATTCTATCAAATAAGGTGTTAAGTGACAAGTTATCAAAAGGGTATATATACTCTGATCTACCCTTACTCCTAACCCCCTTCCCTCCATGGTATTAAGAGTTAAGTTCTAATGTCTTTAAGCCCTATAACACAGTGGAATCAGAACTGGACTAGAAATCAGGAAATCTGGGTTGGATTTCTGGACAATTGGCTAACTAGATTTGTAATCTTAGACAAGTTATATAATGTCTTGGGACCTAGGTTTCTTCATATATAAAATGAGAGGGTTGAACAAAATAATTTCTTAACTCCATTCCAATTCTAAACTCCTATGATTCTAGAGTCATCAGAAAGTCTCACTTATGTCCCAATCCATAATCTTCCATACTCTTCTGCCTCCTTCCTTATCTATTCAGGATAGCATTAGAGTTAGGTTCCAGGATTTAATATCCAAAATTTAAATTATAAATCTAAATTCCATATTCCAAAATCTAAAAAGAGTATTTAAAATTTCTCTCCTGGGAGATAAGGTCAAGAATTCTTCTAACTTTTTAGCTGGATGGAAATAGAAGACAATAGATCTGAAATTCTGTGAGATGATTATGACATTTGTGAGGAAAGGGAGATTTCACTTTTCAAAAATTTCTTGGAGGATTCTACAGATTGATAGGATCATCCATTTAAAACAAAAAGGAACCTTTGAGACCATCTGGTCCCAACTCCTAATTTTACAGGCAGAGAAACTGAGACTTATTGAGGTGAAGTAACTTGCCCAAGATTATTCAAGTACCAATTATCAGAATGGGATTGGTTCAATGTCTTCTGATTCCAAATACAAGTCTCGGGGCAGGTAGGTGGCACAGTAGATAGAGCACCAGCCCTGAAGTCAGGAGGACCTGAGTTCAAATCTGGCCTCAGACCAGACACTTCACACTTACTAGCTGCGTGACCCTGGGCAAGTCACTTAACCCCAATTGCCTAAGGAAAAAAAAAAGAAAAAATACAAGTCTCTTTCCACTACACCATGCATAAGAAGCTGGAATAACAGAAAGGACAATAGGAGACCAAAGAAAAAAAGATGAGAGTAAAGAAGAGATAATGGCAGTGAAAGAAGGTCTGGAGTAGAAAAGAACAAAGTAATGAAGGAAATAAGGAAAGAAAAAGGACACTTTGGAAATTGTCTAGTAATTATAGGAATTTACAGTGTAGATTATCTGGGTGGGAGTATTTTATTTTGGTATTTCCTTTTTCTGGGCTGTAATGGTAATATCTGTCTCCTAACCTGGAGAATTTGGAAGAGTGAATAAGAGATTGCACAACTATGTCATTACTCTATGAAGTTTCCAGGGATGGCTATTTAAATCTAATTATAGAAACAGAGCTTCTATGCTCTATACAATGTTTAAGGAAAGATCCTTAGAAATCTCTTTATTGCCACCTTTAATTTTATAGATGACGAAGTTAAGGCACAAAGAGGTTTAAAGAACTGCCTGAAGTCAGACGTTGGTGGTAGCGTCAGGAATCCCAGGTCTCCTGAACTCCATTCTAGTGCTCCTTCTACCACATTTGGTTCTAAACATGGTGTAGCAAACAAAAAGAACCAAACTAATGGAAATCTAGGTTTGAGGACTGACTCAGCCTTTGACTACCTCTATGACCTTGGGGAAATGATCTCATCTCTCTGTCTTTGTTTTCTGATAGTTTAAATATGGAGGTTGAACTAGATGAACTCTAGCTGTACATTGTTTGCCTTCCTATTCCCCCAGGGCTTAGATGATCAGGAGAAAAGATCAAACAGATCACATAGTGAAAAGCCTGTAACAGTAAATGAATCAACAGGGTAGGAGAATGTCCTCACTGTGCACCACAGTGGAGTCCACCAAGGTGCCCACATCAGGCATGGTAACGGCGATGCTGGTGCTCTCTGTGCCCTTCTCCATGTTGGCTGTTACGGAGGAAAGGTCAGGCTCACTGCGACTGATGGCCCGGCCCATATCCAGCTGCACATCTTCCAGCAGAGCTTGGTCACTGGTACCCTCCTGCTCCTGCTCTGTCAGGCTGTTGTCCTTTCCTGTTTCTAACTCCGGATGAGGGAGGACCAGGGGGGTCCTTATTTCATCAGCAGATGTTGACAGCCCACAGCCTCCAGGAACCATAAGGCTGTTTGTTCTGAGAAGAAAAAGGAGGGGGATAAAAAATGAAAAGGAGGAAAAGGTGTGGTGATATGGTGGTTAAAATAGGAATGGAAGCTCTTTTCTGGGTTTGGAACATTGGCAGAAGAATCACAGACTCTCAGATTTGGCAGGGACCTCATAAGTCATCTAGGCCTACCCATGTCTGAATGGCAATCACCACTACAATATCTCAGACAATTGGTCATTCACTAGCCTCAAGGAATGCCATTCAATTTTTGTTCAGTTTTAGTGTTAGGACATTCTTCCTTATGCTGTCTCATTCTCTACTACTTCCACCCACTACTCCTTATTCTACTTTCTGAGGTCAAGCCCAATAAATTCAATCCATCTTCTAGAAGACCATACTTCAAACACTCAACATCTATCATCTCTTAACATCTAACACAAACCTCTATCAAAATGGCCCATCACAATCATTCTCTTCTCTAGGCTGGACATTCTCAGTTTCTTTAGCCTATTGTTATATACCATATGTGGCTTCCAATCCTCTCAACATTGAGATCTCCATTCTCAAGATATATTCCAGTTTGTTAATATCATTCTTAAAAGGTGGTCTCCTGAATGGAGCCCAATACTCTAGATGTAGTCTGTCCAATGCAGAGTCCAGTGGAACCATTGCATGCATTTTCCTGGGCACTCTGCCTCTCTTCCCTGTTATCTCTGGGCATGATAAGGATCCTAATGGAGCATACACACTGTCCACTGCCATCTTTCTTTTTCACCATGGAACCAGCCCATTTCCCTTTCTGAGGTTAGGCAAGCATGTCTGGGGGATGATTTCTATTACTGGATAGAATTTAAGACTACAAAATCAAAGATTTACAGGCAGGTTGGCCTTCATCTGTCCAACCCTCTTATTTAACAGATGAAGAAAGTGGAGTTTAACAAAATTAAGTGACTTGTAAAAGGTCACACAGATGGAAGGTAGAAGAACAAGGATCTACAATGATGAGATCACAGAGTCGTTTGAGTATTTACATCTCTCTTAATTCATTCTAAAATTACATGACATTTTTTTTAAATCCCTTATCAATGGATTCATGAGACTTTGAGTCTGGAGTCAGGGAGGAGGAAGTAGAAGAAGCTGGCATTTGAGCAGAAAGCAAATATAGATAGAAAAAAGGAGGAGAATTATAGACTGTGAGGGAAAACAACATTTGAAAAGACAGATAAGAGCTGGAAGTTTTTGGTTAAATGGTGATACTCATTTTCTGATTTTCCACACAAAAATTACTCCAGCCACTCATGAGGTTGGGGTTTTGGAATGGCGAATGATTATTTCTTAGTTCTGTCCTCTGTACTACTTAGCAATGGGCTCCCCACCTCTGTTCTTGGGATATCATAGAAGATTTGGGTACTGCATTTGGAGCAAAAAATCCTGCACTAAGTTCATGCCTCCCCACCCCTTCCTGTGATTTTGGACAAGTCCTTCAACTCTCTGAATCTAATTTTCCTCATCCATTAAATGAAAATAATATTCGTAAGGAAAAATCTGATCATACATACAATGTGCCTGTAAGTGGTACTGATAAAGATACCAATAAAAATCTATTTTAAATTCCCCTCAACAACAACAACAACAACAAATGTTACTGATATTACAAAGCCCTGCCCACAAAGGCAGCATGGAATTTGAAGTAAAAATTCTGAATTAGGGTTCTCTTCCTGGCTCTGATAACATTTTACTTTGGTGCCTCAGACCTCCTCCCTGTAAAATGCTTCCAATGATAATAATAGTTGTATTATTTTGTATAGCATTTTAGGACTTGCAAAGAGCTTTACAAATAGTCTCTCATTCTATCCTCACAATAACTCTGAGAGGTAGGGGCTATTACTATCTCCATTTCATAGATGAAGAAACTGAGGCAGATAGCTGTTAAGTGACTTGCCTGGGATCATATAGCTGCTAAGTATATGAAGTGGGATTTGAACTCAGGTCTTCCTGACTTCAAATCCAACCTAAAAAGGCAGATGTGGACTCTAAGTAAAATGTAGTATTTTCAGTCTTTCTTCTTCACAATTCTTTTTTCATTTGATTTCATTGAGGAATCAGAGAATTGAGTACTCAGCTCATAGCCTTCTTTTCCAACCCAACACCTACCAGTGTAGAAGGTGACTTTAATATACATACTGTTGTTTCCCCAAACACTTTGACTTCTCAGTTAATCAAACTCTGTCATTACCTTCTCCTTCACTTTACCTGAATCACACACAGAAATGATCACACCACACCCTTGATCTTATTATCACACCATGGAAGTGTTCCACTTCCACCATAAAGAACCCTGACATTCCTCTCTCTTACCATAATTTTCTCTCATTCCATCACTCCCAGAGCCTCACCATTCCTAAACTTACTTTGCTTCCTCACAGTTGACCCCCAATCTCTCCAATCTCAGTGCCCTTCCAGGCTCTCTCTCCTGCTCTGGATTCACTTTCTTCCCTTCCAAATCTCAACTCTCTAGTTAACCATTTCAGCTTTATATTGTCTTCTGCTCTCACATTTCTTTCCCCACTGTCCTTGTCACTCACATCTTGACAAAGTCTGAGCAGGAGTTACTCCCACCACTGCCCTCCTCCTACGCAGGTGCTTTGGTATAGTACAGAAGAAAGTTACACAATCCTGTTGGCAGGGTCCACTACAAATCTGTGTTATCTAACCTCAACTGACCTGCATTTCTTCATGGCAATCTTTTTACTATTCCCTAAATGACTATCACACTACCCACATAGGATGTTCAAACAATTCCCTTCTCTCCTCAAGCCTCCCACATCTCCCTTTCCTTTCTCAGCAGATGACCTCACCTAACACTTTACTGAGAAAATAGAAGATATTTGCCATAATTTCCCTCTTCTCCCTTACTTGGCATCTCAAAATGACTTCACATCATCTCCCATCCTCTCCTGTCTTCCTCCAGTTTCTGATAAAGAGGTAACCTTTCTCATCAATAAGTCCAATCCTTCCACATTTGTCCTTTATCTCATTCTTTTCCACATCCTCCAGCAGATTGACCCTTTATACATCTTCCAGTCTAATCTTCAATGTTTCCTTATCTATTGGTTCCTTACCGGCTGCCTCTAAACACTGCCATGTCTCTCGTATCTTTAAAAAAAAACCCTAATCTACCCTAAAACTATTGTCCATCCTGTTTCTCTCCTTCCTTTCATAGCCAAACTCTTAGGAAAATCTGCCTTCACTTCTACTCATTTCCCATATCCTTGCAATCTAGCTTATGACCTTGTCAGTCAATTGAAGTTTTCTCTCCAAAATTACTGGTCTTCTTTTAATTGCTAAATATAACTTTTTCTTAGCCCTCATCTCTCTTGACCTCTCTGAAGTTAACACTGGCTACCCCTTCTACCCTCTAGCTATTCCTTCTCAGTTGCCTTTGCTTTTCATCCGTGTCTCAATCCCTCATTGCAGGCATACCACAAGGCTCTGTCTTGGGCTATCTTCTCTCCTCTTTCTATATCCTCTCCCTCAGTGAGCTCATCAGCTATTATAGGGCCTTTCAGATCACTTGGTATTTACTTTGTAGGTATTATATTTATTTATGTGTGTGCATGTTGTTTCCTCCAATACAATGTAAGGCCTGTAACGACTGGGATTTTTTTGTTTGGAGTTTGGTTGCAGTTTTTTGTCTTTGGATCTCCAGCACCCAGCACAGGGGTGGGGAACCTGTGGCCTGGAGGCCACTTGTGGCCCTCTAGGTCCTCAAGTACAGCCCTTTGATGGAATCCAAGTTTGGATTGGATTTAGTGAAAGGGCTGCATTTGAGGATCTAGAGGGTCCCCACCCCTGACAGCACATCTAAACAAATTTGTTGACTGATTTGTTGATTGATTCCATCTGGGTAAAGGGTAAACTTGGAGTGTGTATGCTAAAGGCAGATATTTATGTCTTTTTACATTCATTGTATGAGGGATAGCAGGCATTGGGAAACAGGGCTAAGAAAGTATGGCAGTTATTTTCAAAATGCTTTCCCTTCTATTATCTCATTTTATTACCACAACAACTTGAGGAAGTAGGAAAGGAAGAGAAAGGTATTTTATCTTCATTTTGTGAGTGGGGAGTTTGAGTCACAGATGGGTTTAATGACTGCCCAATGTCACATAGTAAGTCAGGAACACAGCAAAGATTAAAACAAGTCCATCTTGTTCAGTCAATACCACCGCCATTCAGAGCATTCTTTCAACTTACCTCTTTAACTCTTTGCTTCTCTCTTCTTCATGAATAGAAACCTCCTTCCCCTCCTGACTCCCCTTAGAGTCCCTGTTCTTCTCCCCCTCAGCTGTTTCATCTTCCAGGCCTCTCTCCTGGCTCCCGGACCTGCTTTCAGCACTTGTGGCCTGCTCCTTGATCTCAGTCCGGACTCGACGGTGTCGGCTTCGGCGCTGACTTTGCCGGTGCCGGGTCCGCTCCTCAAAGCCCACCACCACCTCTCCAACTCCTGATTCCTGCTCTGCTGGGTCACAGTTTCCATGGCATGGCTTAGAGAGCCATGGCTGCTCCCTCTTAGGCCTAGACACAGGACTCTTCTGGTCTTCTGATTGTTGTAGCCCTTCCCCCTTATGAAAGTCTCCACGGTTTCCATGCTCCTCCTCAAACTTCTCCAGTCCCAGACCCTCTAAAGGCTTGGGCCTCCTGTAGAGACTAGGATGCGCATTGAGGGGATTGAGAGGGCTGAGGGGATTGAGAGGGTTCAGGGGATTCATGGGAGGGGGCTCGTCCTTGTTGATGCCTTCCTGGCTGGACATCTGCATGTGTCTCCTCAGCTGACTGGTGCGCTGTTCCCACACAGACATATGGTGACGTCTCCTCCTCTCCCTCCTGATAAAGGGAAACAAGTCAAAGGGATGGATTAGAGCTTAAAAGACATACGCCAGGGCAGACAGCAAGCATGGGGCCCTGAGGCAGCCCTCAAAGGGCAGGTACAGGGTAGAGTGCATGGTGACGGACAAATGTGAGAGAGCCCAGGACCTGTAAACGTGAAGCACATTAAGACATAAGCCTATGCAGCAATCAAAAAAGCTGCATGTGCATGTGAATAAATGTGGAATGCTTCCAAACTCATGTGCCAGGGATATTTTTTTCAGCATGATGTCTACTTTGCAGTCACAAAGGAGGGAGATTGGGAAGCTATGGTGGGTGGGAGAGGAGAGCCACCAGCTTCAGGGTGGAGCGCCATATTCCTCTGGAAATAGGAATTCCTCCCATGCATCATCTACCTTGTCTTGTCTCACTGTCACTCCCTTCTCTCTTTCCTCTCATCCACTGGAATATTTTACCCCTCTTCCTCACGTATCTCAGTCACACCCCAATCCAGTCCTCAATTCTGACCAATAGCCGTCTCTCTTTCCCTTCCACACTGGACCCTAACTGGGGTGCTACTTCACACTTACTAATGCCACCAGGTGTGTTGTGCCACCAGGCAATAAAATCTGAAAAGTACAATGTTAGCCACAAGTAAAGGAGTCAGAATTGGAGTATAGCGGGACATTATATCACTACGTATAGTTATAGTATGCATCCCTCTCCACCAAAATGAGCAGAACTGCTAGCAGCGCCACCCAGCGCCAAAGGAGAGTCGCCTGAATCTTTGGGGGCTAACCTGGTATGATATATCGTGCCTACTGTTCTTAAATGAACGACAACTGGGCATTTCGACAAAGGGGGCTTCTATGGGCACTTAGATGGTTAAAAGAGCACACATACATGAATACATACAGAAGAGCACATGAGAATTGGCTCACACGTGGCCACGTCCACCCAGACCCACATGCACAGAAACAGCACATGGGCCCACTCATACAAACTGTGATGATCAAACACACTCACACACATCTGTACTCACACCCGCATACGTAGCACACACAAATGTATATCTTAAGGAGGCGGACCCACTTACATGTATGTACCAACATATGCTCAGTCATAAGCCAAAAAGAATGGAGAACAGCACAAGAACCTATATGCCTTAAATGCACACAGACATACCCACACACCGCAAGGTATGTATGCAGTGATGCATACGTAAAACACCTGTACACAGGACACATTCCCACTGATATGCACACACCCGTTGTACCATTTCGTCCATAGCAAGGACAAAGATGACATTGTTCCTGTGACCACACATAACCACTCACAACACACAAACATGTACACACATACAGGTGGCTGCTGCGTGGCTCCCACATCGACATGTGGTGTCTCCTCCTTCTGTCTCTTCTGGGAAAGAAAAATGGACAGGTTCAGTTCATCCCGGCTTTAAAACCCCCACAGAGACCAACATATTTCCAAAGAGGGGGGCAGAGCCCTCCTCATGTACACACATACTTTATATGCTTGCTTTGGGCCCTTAGGAGTCACCCAATTCACCCAACTCCCCAATTCCTCAAAGGGTAAACTTTGGATCCTAGAACTATCTGCAAATACATGGCTCCTGTCTTTATAATACACATGCACAGGCAAAAAGCTTTTAACATTCTATACCATATATGAACTCAGATGCTGAAAAGTCATGCCATACTGGCAGTATTATCTTCCCCCAAATGTATATACATAGAAACTTATTTTGGATACATTATAAACTTCTTAAACATATTCACAATCACATCTGGTGTAACAAGTCACATTCGCACCCCTATGGGCCCATAGACATGTCATTCCCAAATCATACCCTGTTGCAATCTCTCAAAGCACTCAGGTGAATACTTCAGGTACAGCCATGCACATGACATATGAATACTGGAGGTAAAGAGACAAGGGCTCTATTCCAAATGGACCCCAAATGACTCAGCTTGGCAGGCTAGTGGAGCCAATGGAATGGGGTTGATTCCCTTCTGGGTTGGTTAAACTTTCAAAGAGTCAGACACGGTTGCATAACCACCCCTTACTCTGGTCAGCATAACCCATTATGTCACAAATGGAACATAATAACAATTCAGAGAGCATATCCTACTGATGGGCCAGTAGCATCATATTCCTAGAAAAAGGACAGCACATTATCATCTTTCTCCAAGAGAAGAGCATGGGCCGTTGAAGTAAGTTTGTTGTAGGCAAGTACTAGGCTCCAAAGTATGATGGTTGCTCATAGTGGGAGGTATGTGGATGCTGTTCCCTTCCTGGAAGTCCTGTCACCCAACAGTGAAGAATGTTCTGAGAATACACCATGCTTCATCCCCCCCTTCAAAAATGCAAAAAAAAAAATGCAAAAAAGTCTGGGGTAGGAGAGGAAATGGCTTGAAGAAATATGAGGAATGGACTTTGGAAAAGATCCTTGGAGTATGAAGTACAGCTTTCTACAGAATTGAGAACTCGCATTCTAATATATCTATAAACAATATGCATTTATAATTTGCACACTAATTAATATGAACATATTTATACATCAGAATGAATGAGTACCCCCCCAAGTAAACAAGGCAGTAACAATGTATGGCTAGAAAAAAAGAAATATTAGTCACACAGAAATGAAGGCATAACTTTAGTCAGCCAGCATGCATATCCACTAAGAAAAGCACTAGTCCATCCATCTATTTGCAAATTGTCAGAAATCCTAATGCCCAGGCACACAAAGATATGTGTGTAAGAATATAGAAACACATAAGCAGATTCACACTCACTCAGAGAGAATGACCAGGCAAGGAGCACATATAATCTTGGAGTCAAATACAAACACATGTATATTTCACATACTCCTCCATTTACTAACTCATCTATTCTCACACTCATTCCCATCAAGAGTCCTCACATTCCTTTTTCATTGAATTGTCGAGATGCACCCATATATTCTCCACATCTTTAACGTGGTAATTCTATTAATGCATAACCCTTGTATAAACCGCACAACAGCCCTATGAAGAAGGCAGGACAGTTGTTATCATATCCTTTCATATATGAGAGAACCAAGGCCCAGAGAGTTTACAGAATTTGCTTAAAGTCACAGAGGTAGTGAATGGCAGAGCTGAGATATGATCATGGGTTGTCTGAAGATAGAGCCAACACTCTTCCTGCTGTACCATGTGGCTCTGTGATCCTATAATCCCAAAGGAGCATAGAAAGGTAGATGCAAAAGCAAGAGAAGCCGAATTTCTTGAATAATCCAGAGTTTCTTCAACTCTTCTGTTCCTATCTGGACATTAAGACACACACCATCCCATTAAGGTGATAGATACATCTTGTTTTAATTTATGTAAGGAACGGCCATTGACACACCTAGCACATACATCACAGTCAAAGGTTTAGGACAGGGGTGGGGAGCCTGCAGTCTCAAAGCCACATGTAGCCCTCTAGGTCCTCAAGTACAGCCCTTTGATTGAGTACAAGTTTTACAGAACAAATCCTTTTATTAAGGGAATTTGTTCTGTGAGGTTTGGATTCAGTCAAAGGGCCACACTTGAGGACCTAGAGGGTCACATGCGGCCTCAAGGTTCCCCACCGCTGGTAGGACCTCTGCATTTAGCCTCATCAAAGCCTTCATCCTTATCATTCATTCCCTAACACAAACTCTGTCTGGCTCATATTCATTTGTTATCATCTTTCCTCTGTGCTTTTAATTACCAAATAGTAATGTCATTCAGTCATTCTTATCTGGCAGCTTTGTCTGACTACATTCTCCAAACTCAGGCCTCCTTAGACCAAGATTGGGAAAAGTTCTTCCCCAAGGCATAAAAAGAAGACTCCAGAAGGTAAAACTGGAGTGATGGAAAAGTCTTCTTCCTTCCCCTTTAATCTGTGGAACAAAGTTATGAGCTGTCCTTATGGCTGGTAGAGCCTCAAGACAAGGAAACAACCCAAAACCTCTGTTTGGCACATTCTTTCAATGAGCTGAATCCCAAATAATGTCTTGCCTTCGTTCACTAGCTCAGTGCTTCTCATTTAGATGGGAGGATGGACAGGTAGTTGAGGTAAAGACATGGTGGTTATGTTGACTTGGGACCAGGCCTTTAGGACCATTGGTCTGAATGGTTAAAGTAAGTTTCTGAACTCTTAAATCCTATTCTGGGAAGAGTCCCAGTTCCTGTACTCTAGGGCTAATCATACACACACACACACACACACACACACACACACACACACACAGGAGTTTGAGGCCTCTTCTCAACATAATCTCTTTTCTGGTTCTCCAAGACATTTTTCCAGAAAGTCCAGTGAAAGAGAGTAAGAGAGTCTTCTCTCTCAAATAATGAGCTATTTTCAACCCCTTTCCTGATGAAAACATCCTTGAGGGTCCCTCTTCTCATTCATAGACAGTTGGTAAGGATCTGCCTCACTTTCTGTAGAAAGCTTTCTTAGCACAAAAAAGTATGTAAAGAGCCCTAGACATAGAAGGCAACAGTGGAATAAGAATCTTTTGAACTAGGGAGTGTGTCCACATACGGACCCTTAAAATTTTCATCATCACTCCTATTAAGCAGAAGCTATCAATACTGCTTCTGTCCTGTCCAGTACCAGCTCAGAGAAATCTTCCTAGGTGTTGCTGAAGCTCTAGTTTAGTTACAAGGTTCCCGTGTGATTTCCCTCCCACCAGCCATAAGCTTCAGATTATATCTACAGGGGAGAATGGTCCAGTGCTTAACAAAAGTTCCCCCTTAGCCACAGACCCTTCTTTCATTGTTCTCCACATATATCCTGGCACCCAGTACAAAATCCACAGTACAGCTGAGATTGTGGAAGGAATTGTGATTCTGCAATCAGTTATAAACTCACTCCCTTTCTCCACTACTTTTACCTCCCATTTTGGAGACTCAGCTTTATCCTGGTCTCAATCGGATGGTTCCTAAATCTAAACTAAAGGCCTTGATACCCCGAGTTAGGATCTCCTGAGTCAAGAAGGGGAGATCACCTGTCAGTGAGGCATGGATAGTCAACTTACTCAATAGAAGGCATGTTAGGTGCAGACATTGGGCTGACTTCCTTGGCTTTCTGTAGGGCATGCTTCTGATTGAAGGCCTCCTCCTCCTCCTGCTCGTCCTACACAGAAAACAAAGTTGTCCTTTGCCATGGAACGCAAAGCAGGTCATTTCTTTCCTGGAGAACTGCTTCTTTTGTTCTTGCCAGCTTCTAGAAGGTGCTTTGTTGACCAATGGAAGTATGCAAGTAACAGAAAAGGGAGAGAAACTGGACAAGGCACTAGAATTATGAGATCATAAATTAAAAGAAAAGTCCTCAAAAATCATCTAAGCCAACCCCTTCGTTTTACATGTAAGGAAAGTGAGTCATAAAAATGTTAAGTGACTTGCCAAGGTCAGCCCTGCCGATAAATGGAAGAATCGAGATTCAGAGAACAGACCTTTGGCTCCAAGAGCAACACTCATTCTACCATATTGCTTCAAAGTTTGGATTTGCTCCAAAAGATTATTAAGAACTAGAGAGAGTGAAGTATGCATCTCACAAGGGGGTGAGTGAGAAAACACAGGTAGGCATCCACGTAGTAAAGGGCAGAGCAGAACTTGGAAGATCATTTGGTCCAGTCCCTTCATTTTATTGATTTTCATTTAAAACATTTTATTTATGCACTTTGTTTTTAAAAGCCTAGCACTTTTCAACAACTATACCAATAGCACCCTTGCTTATAAAAATATATATATAAGCAAAAATATCTGATATAATTATTACAGCTGACAGGGATGTAACATCTGAAAATTAGACCTGGCATTTCTTTAACAGAGAAGAGGAAGTACGTTTAATATTTCTTATCTGAAACTAACATTGGTCACTGTATTTGACCTGCATCCTGTTATCTTTCAGTGTTGTTTTCTTTTACATTACTGTAATCATAATGTATACAGCTGTCTTCATTCTACCTACTTTGCTCTTAATCAGTTCATACACACCTTCGCATATTTCTCTGAATTACTTGTATTAATAATTCCTTATGATGCAATACTATATCACGATGTTAACAAATGTTCAGCCATTCTCTAATTATTGGATGATATTTTGTTTCTGCTTTTTTGCTACCACAGAAAGTAATTCTATTAATATTTTGGTATACATGGACCTTTCTCACTTCTTTATTTCTTTGACTTCCTTGGGGAAAATAATATGCCCAACAGCTAGATCAGTGAGTCAAAGTATATGAATAATTTAGTAACTCTTCACACACAATTCTAAATTGCTTTCCAGAATGTTTAGATTAGACCAATTCACAGTTTTACCAGTGTAATAGTGTAACTGTCTTCCTGCAGTCGTTCCAACATTTACCATTTCTGTCCTCTGTAATCTTCGCCAATTTTATGGGTATGATATGATACCTCATCTCCCTTATGATTAGTGATCTGAAACATTTTTCCCGTGGTTGCTGACAATATTTCTTATTTTGAAACTTGTTTCTTCCCCTTGAACACATCTATTAGAGAATAGCTCTTCCATGTTTGTGTTAATTCTCTATAGATTTTAAATGTCAGACTTGTATCAGAAATGCCTGATGTTAATATTTTGTTTTAACTCATTGCTTCTCTTATTCTAGCTGAAGTCCTTTTGAATACTTTAAATTTCATATAAATCAAATTGGTTATTTTATCTTTTAAAATTCCTACCTATTATGTGTTTTATCCCTAATCATAAGTGTGAGAAATATAACTTTTTATTCTTTTCTATTTTTTTAGAACTGTGTCCTTTATATCATTTACACACTTGGATCTTAATACGATATATGATCAAAACTGCTGACTTGAACCAATTTTCTGTCAAATTGCTTTTCCATTTTCACAGGAGTTATTATCAAATAGGTAATAATCCCTCATGTAATTTGTATTTTTGTGTCTATCAAACACTCAACTGTTGTTTTCATTTTGCTTTCAGGTCTTGCTTGCCTGGTGGTTTATTTCATTGATCTGGTTGTTTTTTCTTCTATGTATTAACCAGTACTAAATAGTTTTCATAATCACTGCTTTATGACATAAATTGTGATCTGGTAAGAAACACTCCCTTCATTCCCTTTTTCACTATTTTGTTTGAAATTCTTTATCTTTTGTTCCTCCAAATTATCATTATTTTTATAATGCTATAAAATAATTCCATGGTAGTTTGGTATGGCACTAAATGTGCTGATTAACTCAGGTGGCAACATGTTCATGTGAACAAGATTAGTGAAGATTTTCCCAATTATTTAGGTCTTCCTATATTACTGTAAGGTGTTTTGTGTTGGTATTTATATAAGTCCTGTTTGTGTTGTCAGGTTAACTCCCAGATGTTTTAGATATTTTACTGTTATTTTGAATGGACTTCATCTTTTTGTTATCATTTCTTACTGGTTTTTGTTCAAAACATAAAGAGACACTGATGATGTTTCCAGATTCGTTTGGTATCTTGCTAATTTACTAAAGCTACTAATCAACTTGATTAGTTTGTCCACTAATTATTTAAGGCATCTTTTTCCTTTAAGTGAGGACATATGATTTCATTGGTATAGGAAGTTCAAGGTGAGGAATTTTCTCTACCAAGGCTGACCAACATCTCTGCATAGTCTGAGAGAATAGCCTGGGGACACTAAGAAGCTAGAGGACAAGCTCAGAGTCTCACAGCCAGTGTTTGAAAGAACTGGCACTTCAGCCCAGATCTGACTGACTACAAGGACAATTCTCTATCCACTAATAGTATATATTTGGCCTTTAAACCAAATGATTTCATTTTTTGCAAGTAGGAATACTTTTGTCTCTGCTGATATTTATTTCCTTAATTTCTCTCTGTTCTTAATGCTTTATCAAAAGAACAGAGAAAGGGGGAGTATATTTTACCTCTTTGGCTAGGGGGGGGAAAGTCCACTATTTCTGAATTGAAAATAATGCTAGTTTGGGTTTTACATATATGTTTTTTATCATATTAAAGAAGGGTCTTTTATGCCTGTGCTTGTTATATTTTTTAAAGTAAAAGAGTGGTGTATTTTGTAGATTTCTTTTTATTTCTTCTATTCACTGTTATTTTACCTCATTCATTCTTTATTTTGTAAATTTTATTTTTCTTTCTTTTTTGATCATTTGAGCTAATGTTTTATTAATTTATTAATTAAAAAAGTATTAATTAAAAATTTTAAAAATTCCAATTAATTAGTTTATTAATTAAAGACTAAGTCTTTTTAAAAACCCAACTCTCTTCTATCACTTCAAAAAAAATTTTATTTTCAATTTTATCTATTTGTCTTTGGGTTTTAATTTCTCTGTGTTTTTGGGGAGGAGAGAGGAAGAGAAGAAAGAAGGAGAGAGAGACAGAGAGAGACAGACAGAGAGAGAGAGAGAGAGAGAGAGAGAGAGAGAGAGAGAGAGAGAGAGCGCGAGCTGGCTTCAGGGTTGATAATTTATTGATTATTTTTTTTAGGTTTTAAATTCACATACTCAATTCATTAATTGTCCTTTTTTTCTATTTTGCTGGTATATGTTTTCTGGGATGTAAGATTTCTCTGGTTTTAGCTATATACTATAAATTTCAGTATATTGTCTCACTGATACCATTATCTCTAAAATATGTATTATTACCTATGATTTGTTCTTTTACTTAACCACTATTTAGCATGTTAGTACTTAATCTCGGGCAGCTAGGTGGCACAGTGGATAGAGCACCGGCCCTGAAGTCAGGAGGACCTGAGTTCAAACACGGCCTCAGACCGAACACTTGACACTTACTAGCTGTGTGACCGACCCTGGGCAAGTCACTTAACCCCAATTGCCTAAAAGAAATAAATAAACAAAAAAAATACTTAATCTCCATTTAGGTCTGTATCTTTTATTCATTTCAACATTGTCATTCACTATTTTTATTGTATTAAGATCTGTAAAAGATATGTTTAATATACCTACCTTTCTACATTTATGATTTTTTTATGGCATAGTAGCCCCTAGTTAATTTTTTATAAAGATTCTTTGGAATGTTGAATATGTATATGTGTGTAGATAGATAGATAAATGTGTATATATAAATATATATATATCTTATATATATATAAATATATATATTATATGTATATCAGTGTATATATAGACATATATATAATATCAATGTGTGTGAGTATATATGTATGTGTATATACAATGCATACATACACTCATATATGTGTATATGTACATATGTGTGTATATAAATACACATATACATATATATATACGCACACACACTCCAACTCTAACCCTAAAATGGCTTCCGACTCCAACTCTACATTGATATTTACATGCAGAAAATGACATGTCTAAGACCTAATTTACACAGTTGTTGTAAGAATCAAATGAAATAATATATGTTAAGTGTTTTGCAAACCTCAGAGCACTATACAAATGATGACTTATTATCTATATTTTCTTATAATTTGTCTCATAAATATACCTCAGAAAGAGATATATTAAAGTTATTGACTATAATTGGATTTATTGTCAATGTTTTTGCGTTTTAGTATTCCTTTTCTTTAAGAATTTAAAAGCTATTCCATTCGATGCATATGTATTTATAAAGATATTGTTTCATTGACTCTGGCACTTTAAAAATAATGTAGTTTACCTGTTTAGTTTTCTTCACAACAGGGATTTTTACTGTTGTCTTATTGAAAATCATGTTTGCAACTCCTGCTTTTTTTTTAAATCATAATAAATCTTGCACCAAATCCTTGTTTTCATTCTGAATATGTAGTATGATATAGTGGAAAAAATACTGGATTTGGAGTCAAAAGACCAAGATTCAAGTTCCAGCTTTTCCATTTACTATCTGTGGGACCTTAGACAAATCACTTTACTTCTCTGGGTCTCAGTTTCTTCATTTGTAAAATGAAGAGGTTGGACGTCATGAACACTTTTACACTTTCCTACTCAAAATATATAATACCGTAATAGGTTTTAAATGTTTCTTGCATATATTAAGTTGTTGAGGTTTAAAAAAAATCCATTCTATCATTTTCCATTTTGTTATCAAGTTTAACCCAATCACATTCAGTTACTGTTAAATTTTTCATTTCCTCCATTAAATTCTGTAATATGTCTCTGTAATTTCTCTTTTTAAAGACAGAATTAGGTTCCCACTATTTCAAGAATCTGGTTCCACTCTCCTCCAAAAGATCTTCCTCTTGATCATCTCGTTGACCTACTCAAGCCCAGATGTATTCAACCTAATTTTAGTTTTATTTTTTTCCTCTTTCCTTTACAAAGAACTTTTCCCTTCCAATCCCAAAAAAGAGTTCAGAATAGAATTCCTAATCTCTCCCCACACCATCATCCAATCTCTTAGATTGAATAATACTCATGTATGTCACTTTTTCCAGAAAAAAGTCCATATAATAATAATAATAATAATAACAATAATAATAATAAAAAAATGCTCATTTCCCCTTCCAGTACACTCTAGAATCAAATCTCTTATTCAGGAGCTTCATGACCAAATACTCTCTCTTTGTTCTATCTATAACCTTAATTCAAGCCTTATTCCTTCCTCTTCTCTTCAACCTAATTAACTATTAATGTGGTTACTGATCCTCCCCACAACTACCTTCTCTAACTCTGTTTTGGAGTGCCTCTGAGAAGCTTACTTTTCATAAATATTAATTGACAAAGGTGTCAGTGTAACAAGGTACAATTGATCAATCAATCAGTACTTGTCAAGTGCTTATTACATGCTAGTGTCTGTACCAGGCACTGAAAACATAAAGACAAAGATGAAAGTATTCTTCTATATAAGGAGCAATAGGAAACAACATGCACACACATGATTTGGAGCTCCATGTCCAGATTAAGGGGACTCAGGCCACACACAAGAACTTTGACTCATCACCTATCACCCTGGGGTTAACTACATCATCCTTCTGACTCATGTGCCCCACCCCATTGCACTTGTCTTTGGGCCAGGTTCCTTCTGTGGACTGGATTTTTCCCTTTCAGGGGTAGAACATGTTTTTCAAGAGATCCCTTCTGTGGCTGGAGCAGAATATCCCCTGAAATACTCATTCTTTCCTGATGAAGCCTACTATAAGACCTTCAACACAACTTCTCACAATGTGTTCTGAAGCTCCCAACATATTCCATTTTCATGGCAAGAATTTGGCCCCTGCCACCACTACCACATCTGTATTTCACCTTCCAATGTTCTCTCCTTGTTTTCTCAATGCTCCTCAGGCTACATAGGAGATGGAAAGGACCAAAGCTCCCTCTCATTTTTTGCCCAGGTCAGACAGGGTACATCTCTGTATTCCTGGACTAGATCTTTTTCTCCTCTTCTAGTTTGAAATATATTTCTTGGCTCTTGTACCCACTCAAAAATGTTAATTCACAAAGAAAGAATGTGTATTTTATACTAATAAATATTAATTTACCCATGTACCTGTATAGTGTTTAGTTTCTTGCCCAAATCAATATTTTTATGGTCCTTCTGACACTGAGATTTGTGCAAAACTTTTGATAAAGTATCTCATACTATTCTTGTGGAGAAAAATGGAGTGATATAGATTAGAAGATAGTGCAATTAGATTAATTCAAAACTTATGTGATGATTAGATTCAAAGGATAATTGTTAAGGGTTCAATGTCAATGTGGCAAAAGGTCTCCAGTAGAGTATCTCAGGAATTTGTCCATGGCCCTGTACTATTTAACATTTTAATCAATAACATAAATAAAAGCCTAAATGACTTACCAAATTTGCATATAATAAAAAGGTGAATGGGACAGCTAACATAGTGGGTGACAAATTCAGGATCCAAAAGAATTTTGACAGATTAGAGTATTGGAGAAAATCTAATAGGATGAAAATCAAATTCAATAGTGATAAATATAAAGTTTTATACTTAGATAAAAAGTATATTTGTGCAGCAGCACAAGATGGGGGAGATATGATCAGATAGCAATTTTTTTTTTTTGGTGAGGCAACTGGGGTTAAATGACTTGCCCAGAGTCACACAAGTAGTAAGTGTTAAGTGTCTGAGATGACATTTGAACTCAGATCCTCCTGACTCCAAGGCCAGAGCTCTATCCATTTCACCACCTAACTGCCCCAAACAGCGAATATTAAAAAAAAAAGATCCAGAGGTTTTAATTGCCTGCAAGTTTAATATAAGCAAACAGTGTCATATAAAGACCAAAAAAAAAGCTAACGTGTTCTTGCCTTAAGAGGTATTGCCTTCAGGAATATGGAGGTGATAGTCCTACTCTACTGCCATTGTCAGACCTCACTGGGGATGTTGTGTTAAGTTCTGGTTGCCATAGTTTAAGAGCAGCATTGATAAGCTGGAAAGTTCCAGAGGAAAACAAATGGCAATTAGTTCAAGTCATATGAGGATCAGTTGAAAGAAATGGGCAAATTTAGTCTAAACTTTGACCTCCAAAATTTATTTCAACTCTTAAATTTTTGATTCTGTGAATGGGAGACTGGGTGCTGCCCTGTGAAAGAAATCAAAGAAATCAGGGTGAGTTGAAAGCCCATGTTGTGGCAGACTATGCTTGAAGGCACTATGTGTTTGGGCTGGCCAGAGGGAATGAACTGGCATACAGGTGTGACTGGAAACCAGAAGCTATAGCAGTTGGTAAGGCTACTGGAACCTGGTCCATAACACCTGTCTTCCCTCAGCTTCCTTGGAACACTGACCAAGGAAAAAAGCTATCTCTATTTCTCTCCATCTTTTCATTTCATTTCCCATTTCCCTTCTGACTGGTGGTAGGAAGGTTGGATAGGGGAATAAAAGGTCAACCTTTTAGCTATCATAGCCAGTGAATGGAAGTCTTTCCCTTTAAATATTAATTTATATTCTAATATTTTGGGAAATTGTTGGCAAAAAGTTGAACTATTTACCATGATTTATGTCCAACTCCATAAGAATGTGGTTTAGGATTGAGAGAAGGGAAGCTAACCAAAAAGAAAGAAGAGTTTTTTTTTTCTCAGCTCAGGTTGATGTGATGAGTGAGTTAATTTGAGATAATTTTTACAATATTAATAATATCCAATATATCTATATTCTATACTTCTTTGAACCACAAGAGATATTTAATAAAAAAAGAAACTCATAACTGTAAAAAGTAGAAGTTGGTGTGTTTCTTCAGGCAACCACCTTGTACATTGTGCCTAGCTAATACCTATCTGGCTACCATAGGGTCACAAGCTCTGGAATGTTGGCACAGTTGACACTATGGGACAGTAAGGTCCCTAAAGACAGACAGTCCTTACCTTTGTCAGCTCCTGAGCATTGGCCAAATTGTCCACAGCGATGGCCAAAAACACATTCAGTAGGGTGTCTGGGAGACGTTAAGGATAAATAACTTAAAAAAAATACAGGAAACCTTGATGAGACCAAGATGACACTTCCTTATGCTTTCTAAATTAGGAAGGCAGCTAGATTACCAAGAAGATACCAATAGCAGACTTTGACTGGAGGTCAGATAATCCCTGACTCCAAATGGCTTCACTTCAAATCTCAGCAACCATAAAGAACTGAGTCATCTGAAGGAATGGGGAGGGTGTCAAGACTGTCTTCTCAGGAAGAAGAATATCATCGCCATCCCGATTTCTCTAGACTAATCATTGCAGAAGTCATAACAGGAACAGGAAGATCACTCCACCCAGATAACTCAAGAGACACTGAGATTACTATGGCCTCAGCACAAGGCCAGAATGGGGATGCCAACCATAGAAAATGAGTAGATAAATGGAGAGGGACATCCCACTTTTACCTTAAGGAAGGACAATAAGTAACACCCACCTGAATATGTGTTGCTAGGGTAATATGGACTGGATATACTACCAGCAAAGGAGATTCAACAGTCTACTCAATAACTAATACACCTCATTGCTGATCAACTTTCACCACTGTTAGGGATAATCTATATATTTTTTCTTTTTTGTTTTCAGTTAGCCATGATCTTCCATATTAAAAAATACACACACACACACACACACACACACACACACATATATATATACACACATACACATACACATACATACATCAAACCACTTCATAACTTAGGAGGGTTATTACATAACCTAATGTTATGTAATTTTCTAATGTAGTACCCCTTCCCTATCCAAATATCTTCATAAATCTTATTTTTTCAAATTTTTCTATGCCTATAAGTTTAATAAAACTTTTGATGTTGGTTCAATGATTCACATATATTCTTTTTTTTTTTTTTTTGGTTAGGCAATGGGGTTAAGTGACTTGCCCAGGGTCACACAGCTAGTAAGTGTTATATGTCTGAGGCCGGATTTGAACTCAGGTCCTCCTGAATCAGGACCAGCGCTCTATCCACTGCACCACCTATCTGCCCCTCATGTATATTCTTGTATCCACAAAAAGGGAAGGTTACTTTATATCCCTTTTTTTTTTCTAGGAAGAAAGGTAGAGAACACCAAAAGACTTAAAATGACAATACTGTGTTCTATCTAACTCATAAATGTCAATCGTCAGAGCCTGTAAACTACAGATAACAGTTTTGAAGGTGGATTTGAAGACCTACTGTTTATAAACTGTTATTACAGAGTAATGTTTTCCTTTGGTAATGACAGTATGATTTTTTTCTAGTTGTTTGTAAAAATTAAGAGCAGAGGAGACTCCAGTGAAATGTACCCCACATGAATATTAAAGATGAAGATTATGATAATCAAGGACTGATTATCTTAACATTTGGCCATACAGTTTAAAAGCAAAATCAACATTCATCACTTTTGTCATTTGGAAGCAGAAATCATTATATATGTTTCCTATTCATTGAAACTAACATTACTAACTCACACATATAATGTTCTTAAGTTTTCCAAATGTTTTCTTCACAGCCTCCTTGCAAGATAAGTAATGCAAGTAGCATTAGCCTAGTTTTACAGATAAGAAACAGAAGTTCACTAAGGTTAAGTGATTTGCTCGTGATAAGTAACAAGTAGCAAGGCAGTATATGAACCCAGCTCTCTACTACTCCAAGTCCAATGCTCTTTCCACTAAGCCACACTGAATGACTAATTGGAATAGTTGTAGAGAAAGTACCATTTCCCATTCTCCAGTTCTGGGATATGAGTCTCTAAGAGAGAATTAAGAAAACATTAGTCAGGTAGGACTGATTCTGAAGATCAGATGTGATGTCAATAAGAATGATTTGTTTTTACACTATTTTCTCTTCTCTCTTATTAAATTATAAATTCCTTGTATCCCTAGAATCTAGTACAGTGATTAATGCAGAATAGCTAATAAATTGTTGGTGAACTAGTTTTCTGAATGTCAACAGACAATACCTTTAAAGTGCTTAGCATAACATCTGGCACATAGAAGGTACTATATAAAAATACTTATATTCTTATCTTCCCTTTTTGAACAGAGTTTTCCTGTATTTGCCTCAGCACTTGGCCCATTTCTGGGCATAGAAAAGATTGAAATAAACACTAACAAATTTGGCTTGAATAGATAGTTGAAAACTTCATGTCATATCATATCATATCATATCATATCATATCATATCATATCATATCATATCATATCATCTCTACCAGCTCTTACTCATCACAATATAAGCAAGTCAAAAACATCATTAAAACCAAGAAGAAAGGATACAGTTTCCAAACAGAGTGAGCACGATGAAGTAGATGGCAGACCACATACCAGAGCTAACTCCACCCTGGGAGCGGATCCCATTGTACATCACCTCATTCCAGTCCTCACCTGTCAAGATCTGCACAGGGCCAAGAGTGGCAAGGTTAAACACATAGGCTGGTTGAGGGGAAAGTTCCAGTCTAAAAACTTAGACAAACTTTAATATATGCTTTCCCTTCTTTTAGTCTCCTTCTAAGGCAGAGGCTCTTAACTTGGAGTCCATGGATGCATGGATTGATTTCAGGGAGTCTGTGAACTTGGATAGGGAAAGGAATTACATCTTTATTTTCATGAATCTGTTTCAAAAAAGTAATGACAGCTCTCCCAAAGGTCTGAAAGTAACATAATCCCATAAGAGTATGATTCAAGAGATCCTAGTTTATTTCCCCACTTCTTTCCCACACTTTGATTCAAATGTCTTACTTTCTATAGTCTTCATTTGGTCTCATACCTGGAATACCGTCATAATGGCTGCAGGAAAGGTGTCAAAGTTTGCGGAAGGAGTCCCATCATTAAAGTTAAACCTGATAAGAGGACAAGAGAGAGGAATGACATGAGATCTCTGGAACCAAGCCGAACCTCATTGTTTACATTCTAAGTTCTACTTTTTCCGCTCTCATTTCCCAAGTCTTCTTCATTATTTCTCTTATTTCTGCTTTCTAAATATTCTGTCACTTTTCCCACCAAGCCATGATAATAATCCACTCTTATCTGACATTCAAAAATGGCACTACTGCTTTCCTATCACTATAAATACTTATAATATTTCCAGAAGTGGTAATGGGTTTGTATTGATCTATCTACACTTTCTCATCTGGTATCCTATGATGTAATATATTTGTGATATGGGCTAAGCAGGAATAAATGAGGAATAAAGTAGGAGTAAATTGTTTGGTTATAGTAAGACCATAAGACTATTTAGGTAGATAGAGGTACATATGTGTGTGTGCGCGTGCGCACATGTATGTATACACACATATATACATATATTTCCATATATATGATGTGCTGTTATATAATATTGTATTATATCATATTGTATGCCATATCATATCATATCATATCATATCGTATCATATCATATCATATCATATCATATCATATCATATCATATCATATCATATCATATCATATCATCACCAGCTGAAGCAATAGATTATAGTCCCATTAGAATCCTATCTCAGAGACTTACTGTATTCCCTTAGGCAAGTCACTTAACTATTGTCTTTCTCACTTTCCTTATCTGTAAAATGGGGATGACAATAATAGTACCTACCTTGCAGGACTGTGTGAATAAAAATACATTTAAACACATATGTAAATAATATCTACATGTAAAATATATGTAATTAATATATGATAATATATTAAATCACTTTGTGAACCTTGAAGCCTTATATAAAATTAGCTATTGCAATAGTTATTGTTTTCAATACTTAATGATAGCATAGAATTGGGGGGCTTTTATTTTAATCTGGGAAGCTTGAGAGAGCTTACCTGCCTCCAAAGAGCTGCATTCCCAACAGAGCAAAGACAACAATAAAGAGGAAGAGGAGGAAGAGTAAGCTGATGATGGATTTCATGGAACTCATTAAGGAGACCACTAAATTCCGAAGAGACGCCCAATACCTGAAAGATAACAGGAAATGTTACTACCCGCAACAACTCTACTTTTTACTTGGCCGCAAACCAGAGTCCATGAAATAAACTGCATTTTGCAAACTTTTCTGTAATGGAAAGAGAAGCAAAATTCAGTCACCCTAGGAAATTCTGTCCAGGGATCTGGCATGGGAATTTTCCCAGTCCATCTTTTGGTTCATTCACCCCTGACTGAGCCTGGGAAGGGCTAGAGAATTGATCTAGGTAGGATATACACAAAAACAAGAAAACATATGACTCTTCAGGAGGCAATAGGGAATTCCAATGTCAAAGATGGGTAGATTTCCAAATTCTGGTCCCTTACTTGGTAACCTTAAATATTCTCAGAAGTCGGAGAGCCCGCAAGACACTGATTCCAAAAGAGGTGCCAGGTCTAAAGATGGCCCAAACCACTTCAAAGATACTTCCCACGGTGACCTAAGAAGAAAAGAAAAACAAATATAAAACTTTAATGAAAGGAGTAGAGAGGGGAATAAGGAGAATACTGGTGTTTAATAGGAAACCACTCAAACCCCAGCACTCATAGGGCTAGCAATAAACCCCAGCATTACCACATCAATAATCCTAGACAGATCTATCCTATTCATAAAGGTCTTCCAGGGGGAAAAATAGAATTTCCAAACTCTCTCATTAGGAAATCAACTGTGACATCCAACTATGCTTTCTGCTGGAAAAGTCTTCTCAATATCAATCCCCTATGCCTGCAGCATAAAATTCATTTCCTTTTGTCTATAGTTAGTGGAAAAAAAAAAGACTAGCCTATCAACTATCAATAGTACACACTGGTCCTAGACGAGAATGTGGGATGTTCCTCATTTCTTGCCGCCAATTTCAGACTCTCCCTTTGTCCCCATAATTTGTAGTCCTTTAGAGTTTAGTTTATCATTTTTTTTGTCCAATATAGTTGATGGTGGCTATTATGTAATAGTCTCCACGTCCTAACTGCTCTCTCAAAGAGCTAGCCCTTGACTCACTAACTTTCCCTCCTCAGAGGACTTCAATAGTTACAACGGTGCTACCTCAAACACCCTATTCTTCTAGTTCCCTAGTTTTCTCAGATAACATGACTTAGTCCTTCATTCTATTTCAGCCAAAAGGATGGTCACATCCTAAATCTTATCATTACCCTGAGTGTTCCACTTCCTTGATCAAAAACTCTGACTCAAGTATCTTGCTACCATTTCTTAACATCCCATCTCTCCATACATCCCACCCTTCCTATATCTTTTATTCACCTTTATCAGGACCTTCCAACCCTTCTGAACCTTCTCAGGCTACCCCTACTTTCTTTTCTTTTTCTTCCAAAACTCAACTCTATATTAACCAATTTGACTCTACAATATCCTATCTTCTGAAATCCCTTACCCTTGCATCTTATCATTGCTCATCCCTTGTTGAATATCAGACTCAAGTCAGTCCCAGCACCTGCCCCTTTCCCTCATAGTCACATGATGCTGAATGAAACTGTGCTCATTGGATAATAACTTTATGTTTTCTAACCTTAACTGGGCATTCATTGCATCAAGAAAACCCTTGATCCCTCCCTAATTGATTCCCTCTTTCAATCTCTACAGAAGCAACTTAAAATCTTACTTCTTTCCTCAAGCCTCCCATAACTCCTCCTACCCACACCCTCTGAACTGAGGACCTTACCTTTTAATTTGTGGAGAAAATTAAGGTCTTTTGTTATGAGGTCCCTTTTCTCCCTTTGTCTTCCTCCACAATCCCTTGACTTCATTTCTAACTACCTGCTCTTTTCCTTTAGTCTCTGATATTGAAGTGACTCTTCTCTTTGCCAAAGTCCAACCCTTTTACATGTGCCCTTAATCTCATTTCTCCAGTAGATTGTGCCCTCAATCATCACTTCTTTCTTTTTTTCTATTTTCTATTTAGTATTTTATTTTTCCCCAGTTACATGTAAAAAACAATTTTTAACATTCATTTTTAAAACTTTGAGTTTCAAATTCTCTCCCTTCCTCCCTTCCCACCCCACCCCCATTGAAAAGGCAAGCAATTCTATATAGGTTATACATGTGCAGTCATGCAAAACACTTCCATAATAGCCATGTTGTAAAAGAAAACATAAACAAAAAAAACCAAAGAAAAATAAAGTAAAAAAAAAGTATGCTTCAATCTGTATTCAGATACCACCAGTTCTTTTTCTGGGGATGGATAGCAGTTTTCATCATATGTCTTTCAGAGTAGCCTTGGATATTTTGCTGAGAATAGCTATATCCTTCACAGCTGACCATCCTACGATATTGCTGTTACTTTATACACAGTACATTTCACTTTGCTTCAGCTCATATAAATCTTTGCAGGTTTCTCTGAGAGCATCCTCCTCATCATTTCCTATAGCACAATAGTATTCCATCATAATCACACACCACTATTTGCTCAGCCATTCCACAATTGATGGGCATCCCCTCAATTTCTAGTTATTTGCCCTCAAAAAAGATCTGCTATAAATATTTTTTTATACATGTAAGTCCTTTTCCTTTTTTTAATCTCTTTTGGGATACAGACCTAGTAGTGGTATTGCTAGCTCAAAGGGTATGTATGGTTTTATAGCCCTTTGGATATAGTTCCAAATTGCTCTACAGAATGGTTGAATTGGTTTACAACTCCATCAACAATGCATTAATGTCTCATTTTTCCCACATCCCCTCCAACATTTATCATTTACTTTTTGGTGTCCTATTAACCAATTTAATAGGCATGAGATAGTGCCTTAGAATTGTTTTAATTTGCATTTCTCTAATCAATAGTGAGTTAAAGTATTTTTTCATATGTCTATAGACAGCTTTGATTACTTCATCTGAAAACTGATCATATCTTTTGATCATTTATCAATCACTCTCATTTTTATAAATTTGACTCAGTTCTCTATATGTTTGAGAAATGAGGCCTTTATCAGAGAAACTTGCTTCAATTTTTTTCACAGTTATTGCTAACTGTATTTCCCTCCATCTTATCCCCCCATCCCATTTATAATCATCACTTCTTTCTCTCTAATTTCTAATCTCTCCCTATCTACTTGTTCCTTCGTTACTGACTTTCAATATGTTTGTGTCTTCTCCACCCTGAAAAAAGAAGAAAAAGACTTTTGCTAGACTCAACCTTCCCCTGAAGAGAAGGTTCCCCTACATCTTTCCTTCCCTTTAAAATCAAACTTCTAGGGGAAAAAAGCTGTCTATTTTGTATTTCCATTTTCTTTCTTCTTTTCAGCCTTTTGCTGTCTGGCTACTAATCTTACCACTTAAATTAAATAGCTTTCTCCAAGGTTAACATTTATACCTTTAATGCCAAATCTGAGGGTCTTCTCTCAGGCATCATTCTTCTTAACCTCTCTAGTGCATATGCCACCATGCAATGCTCTCTCCTCATGTACACTTTCTAGGGTTTTTGTGAACTTTCTCCTGGTTCTTCTGTCTGGTCTCTTCTTCTAAGTCTCCTTTTCTTGATCCTGTTCCATATGATGCCCCCTGGAGATTCCGGAAGGCTCTGTCCTAGACCCACTCTTCATCTTTTTCTATTCTTTCTCTCATCAGTTCCCATGGGTGCTGACATATACATGCATGCATACATACATACATACATACATACATGCATGCATGCATATATGTGGAGAGAGAGTACTCTAGTCTTCTCTGAGCTTAAACAGTTAGTCATGGAGCATTGATTAAGCATTTTCTATGTACCAGATACTGCTAAATGGAGAAGAAAGAAAAAGAAAGGCATAAAAATAATCCTTGACCCTGCTTACATTCTAATGAGGGAGATAAAAGATAAGTAACTAGGTCCATGCAAGATATATACAGAGGTGATGGAAACTAATCTCAGAGGAGAAGGCACTAGCACTTGTTGGGTGCAGGGAAGACCTCCTGCAGAAGGTAGGATTTGAGCTCAGTACCAAAGAAAGCCAGAGAAACTAAGAGGCAGAAGTTAGGGAGCACAGCATTCTATACATGGGAGACAGACAGTGCAAAGGCATAGACGAGGATTGTTGTGTTCAAGGAATACCGAGTTGGCTAGTGTAGATGGATCTCTGCATGGAAGGGAGGAAAGTGCCTGAAGACTGGAAAGGTAGAAAGGTGTCACATTATGAAGAACTTTACACTCCAACAGAGCAGTTTATATTTCACCCTAGAAGTAATAGTCACTGGAACTCATTGAGCAGGCTAATGGCAGGGTTAGAACTCTACTTTAGAAAAATCACCTTGGCAACTGAGTGGAGGATAGATTGGAGTGGGGAAAGACTTAAGGCAGGAAGATCAGGAGCGTGTGTGAAAAAAGAGAGGGGAAAGGTGTAGGAGAGATATTTGTTCTTCTTCTTGTTTAGTCATTTCAGGCATGTTCAACTCCCATTTGGGATTTTCTTGGCAAAGATACTGGAGTGGTTTGCTATTTCCTTCTCCAGCTCATTTTAAAGATGGGGAAACTGAGAAAAACAGAGTTAAGTGACTTGCCCAGGGTCACACAGCCAGTGTCAGATATGAACTCAGGAGGATAAGTCTTCCTGACCCCAGGCTTGGCACTCTATCCACTGCACCCACCACCCTGCTGCCCAGGAGAGATATTGGGAAGGTAAAAATGACAAGATTTGTCAACTTATTTAATATGTGGGCTAAGTGAAACCGAGGAGTCAAGGTTGACACCAAAGTTGTGGGCCTGAGTGACTGAGAGCAAGGCTGTGCCTGCAATATTAATCAGGAAGTTCAGAAGAGGGAAACATATGGGGGAAAAGACAATGTTTTGAACATGCTTAAGTTTGAGATGCCCAAGGAACATCCAGTCTGAGATATATAAGAGGCAGTTAATGGTCCAGGACAGGAGTTCAGGAGAGTGGCTAGGACAGGATGGATAGATAGATAGATAGATAGATAGATAGATAGATAGATAGATAGATAGACAGATAAGACAGAAAGATAGATTATATAGGAATGGAGATAGATTGATAAACAGATAGAAAGATATAGATTATAGATATGTTTACATATACATATATAGATATGTATGCATATACGTATATATCTAGGCATTATCTGCATAGAAAGAATAATTAAGCTATTGGGAGCTGAAGAAATAAGATCACCAAGTGAAATAGTAAAAGAGCAAAAGTAGAAGAGGCCCCAGCACAGACCTATAGGGGACATCCACAGTGATTGGGCATGACGTGAATGAAGAACTTGCATCAGATACTGAAAAAAAGCTGTAGGACAGGAAGATTTCCAGAAGAGTAGAACAGCATGCAAATCTAGAGAGGAAAGAGTGTTTAGGAGGAAAAGGTTATGAACAGTTCCAAATGATGTAGAGATGTCAAAAAGATGAGGATTGAGAAAAGGCTATTAGCTTTGGAAATTAAGAGAACATTGGTAACTTTGAAGAGGGTAGTGATACCATTTTACCAAATACCTATTGTACATTTTGAACTAGATGTCTTAGAGACATCTCAAACTCAGCATGTCCAAAATAGAACTCATTATCTTTTCCCCAAAACCCATTCCTCTTCCAAATTTTCCTATTTTTGTAGAAGGGACCATCATTCTTCCAGTCTCCCTGGTTTATAAATTCCACATTATCTTCAAATCTTCATTTTATCTCACCAATATCCCCATCCCCCACCACATCCAAACATTTGCCAAATCTTACTTTTCCTGCCTGTATGACACCTCTCACATCCAGCTCTTCTCTACTAAGACAGATACGTCCTTATTTCAGGCCTCATCACCTCTAACTCAGACCACGACAACAGTCTCCCTACCGCAGATCTCTTCCCATTCCAATCTACCTTCTACACTGTTGTCAAAGTGATTTTCCTTAAGTTCAAATCTATCCAAGTCATTCCCCTACTTAAGAAAATCCAATGGCTCCCTATTGCCTTAAGTATCAAGTATAGATGCTTCCATTTGGCATGCAAAGACTTTCACCACTACCACCATAGCTTAGTTTTCCAGCTTCATTATATATTATTCCTTTTACGTATGTAAGTTCAGCCAAACTGACCTTCTTCTCTTCCCTTTGTGCATGTCCTTTATCTCTTGTCTCTGTTCCTTTGCAATGGCCCTTTCTCGTGCCTGGAATGCATTTCCTACATACCTCTGTCTTATGAAATACCTTTTTCAAGGCATATGTCAAACACTGCCTTTCCATGAATCTTTTCCTGATCCCCACAACTACTAACATCCTATCTCCATAAATTCCTTGCATTATTTTGTATTTATTCTGCGTGTAATCCTTTTGTATATACATATGTACATGAGTATATGTGTGTGTAAGCTCCTTGAGTATAGGGGTTGTTTCATATCTGTTTTTGTATCTGTGGTGCCCAATAAAGTACTAGACATTTAATAAATGCTTATTGATTAATTGATTGAATGCCCACTTAAAAAGGGAAGCTACCAGAAGATGCTTCCTCCACTCCTTTCCCCCACCCCCAACCAATGGCTTCACAGTATGTTATGTTCTCTATCTATAATGGTCAATGTCACTGAGTCTTTGTCTTCCCTGATGGAAAGTTCCTGAGGCCTCCATCCTCACCTACTTCTGAAGCTGAATTTGCCTAAAAGAGATAATTTGGTAAATTTGTGTTGTTTTCACCAGACAAAAATCACTGTTCATGACTTCCTATTCAATATTTCACTCTCTTCCCACTACTAACCCCCAAATCTAATAGCTAATGGTTCAAGAAATAAAATGGTTGACTTATCTGTTCTATTCCAAGCCCCCATGAGCAGTTAAACGTTATTCTCATTTCATAAATTCAAGTGTCAATGCTCCCAACCATTGATCCACAACGCTGACAGTCATGCAAATGGAATAGACAGGCTTCAAAAGCACTTACCCCAAAGTCAAAGCAATTAAAGGAGGAATGAAAATAAAGGCGTGGCCCCATGCCATACATCTTCAGGGCCATTTCTAAAAGGAAGAGCCCCAAAAACAAAAACTCTGCATAGTCTGAAATGATTAAAACAAGTGCCATTACACACACAGGTAGCATCTATTCCTTTATCCACAAATTCACATATTGCCTTTATGGCCCCAAATTAACAATATTCCCACCCACTGAGTGAGCTTCAACAACATAATCACTAGATATGACTTGGCTTAGATTGTTGCCAAACAAATAGTCCTAATTATGACTGTGGAATTTCCTAATAGAAGTTGAGTTCAGGGGACAATGAATAGCCTAGCTTTCTCTTACCCAACAAATGGATGTATCATTAGCCTCTGAAAGACAGTTTAATTTTAGAACAGAAATAGGGAAGGCTATCTAGTATTTTGGCTTAAGGATGTTAATATAATACATAGTGCTGCATAGACTTTTATAGGTAGTCATCTATACTATATGATTTGAGGGTGCTTCTTTCCCCTCACATATATCCCCTACAAGTCTTTGGTGGCTGCTATTTGCAGCATTAGCATCATATTTAGGCTCTCTCTAGGGTGAGGTACACTTGTGGGCCTCACCTAGGGATGGAAATGATTCTAGGTGCTCAAAAGCTATGCTAGAAGAGTGCTATCCCTAGCGGCTCTTACCAAGCTGACAAAGATTGAAAACGCAGACCCTTAAATCAAATGAACTTTATGCCTGTTGCTAAGAGTAACTGAAGTATGGAAAGGTTCCACCTCAAAGGATTGATAATCAGGTGATGAATTTTTTTGTCCTCTGCAGTTCATTGAAGTGTCTGCTCAATTATGGAAAGATGTTGATTTACTTCATAGATGAAATCACAGATATTTGGAATATTGAGTTATTCAGGAAAGGCTATGTTATTTGGAAGAGCTAATATCATTTGGCAAACACAAACAGGGAGTAGTTTAGCTGATTAATTGGTAAAGAGAAGTTGGCAATGTTCAGGATAAAGCCAGGGTCTTTAAGGACAGCATCACAAAGGTAAATATCTTATCTACTCCTATGATGTTCCTTGGGATCACTGAGAGAGATAGAATATTGGCCTGAATAAAGTTTTGGTGCATATTGTGATCTTATATTAACATATTAAAAAACCCGATATCTTACAGAATACAGACACATTACACTTACAGAGGAGGTGGGTGAGCCACAGGGGCTGGTTGTGATGGACAATAGCCACACAGGCAGTGTTGAGAGCTACCACACTCAAGACTATCCAGTAAAAAACTTGGGATTTGACCATATGACGAATGGAGATACGTAGAAGCCGCTCCTTGTGCCGGAAATAAGAGGCTCCGTCTACTTTAGTACTTTTTATACTGGCACGAGCAAGAGGAGTGCCTAAAAGAAGAGTAAAGAGTGAGAATTGATGATGATGATGATGATAGACATGTATTTTAAAATTTGTAAAATATTTTACATTGTCTCGTTATAACCTTATAAAAACCTCTGTGAGGTAGGCACTATTAACAAAAAAAAAATCACAAGTCCACGAGATATATGTTGCAACTGGATTTATTACAAGACAAATGAACATGTATGTGGAACTCCAGGTGCAAGGAGTTCACAATGCAAACAGAAGCTTGCATATTTATGCAATTGCAGCAAAGAGAGGAGGAGGAACAACATTAGGAAGAATTTCCTTCTAAAGGGGAGTGGTACTTCATGAACTATGTAGAACTTCCAGCCCACAGAAATGTTGGCTATTAAGATTACCTCTGAACAGTATGGCTTCCATGACTTTTGGACAACCTGGCAAATTCCCATGACATAGGGGTAACAGGCACTTTGCAGAGAATAAGGTGAAGGCTCAGAAATCCTATGCTTTATCTCATATTGGCTCTCAACTTTCATTCTTCACAGAGGATTCAAGCATTCCATTCCACCCCTCCCCCTCACTCTGAACAGAGGACCTTTGCCTTTTACTTTCCTAAGAATATTGAGGCTATTTGGCATTGGCTCTCCACAGTGCCTTCTTTCACAATACAAAGCTTCTTAGTTGGTCATCTCTTCCTCTCCATTCTTGAACAAAAAAACAGCTTTCCCTCTTTCCAAAGTAACTCTCCAACTTTTGCCCTTGATCCCATCTTTTCCCACTTCTTCCAAATCTTTGCTCCATTAATCTTCCCCTTTTTTTCCTTCCTTTGTTTTTGCATTTTCAATTTACTTCTCCATTAGCTATCTCCCTTTGCACCTACAAACATATTCAGGTTTCTCCTACCTCCTTTCCTCAAGCTTTCTATGCCATATAGCTACTGACCCATCTCTCTCCTTAGTTTCACAGCCAAACATAGAGAATGAAGCTATATTTGTTTCTTCTATTTCTTGCTATTTTTACTTCTCAAACCCTTGCCATCTGATTTCCATTCTTACTACCATTCTACTGAAGCTATTCTTCCTTAAATATTTAATCCAAGATTATTTCCTCTGTCTTCATTCTCTCTTGACCTCTCTGAAGCATTTAACACTGTTGACCATCTCTTCTTCGTGTTCTCACCTCCATGTCATTGGACATGTCTCAATCTTTCCATGTGCGATTCTCTCCTACTTTTCTGACTGCTCCATGATTTCTTTTGCTGACTTTTCTTCCTCCTCTTTTAAAGAAGTACCCTGAAGTGATGTGTTCTTTAAGTCTCTGCCCTCAGCTTTAATCTCTCTCTTCTATATACATTCTCAGTGATGTCATCCATTCCCATGACTTCATATTTCTTTTTACTTTAAAAGAGATGAGGGGTCTATGCCCCTTGCCAGCAGGAAACAGTTTCAGAAACTAAGACATTTGTGTTTTACCCCAAAAGATTTGGGGTCCCATTTTTCTGAGGGGGAAATTATGGGGTAATAGGACCTGGGCCTCTAAAACAAAAAAGGACCATGTCTCTGAAAGCAACCCAGTCCCTGTATTTTCCCACACATTTCAGCAGCCCAGATCACTGGCACCTCCACCCAAGGCAACTAGCCCACCCCAGCCCATCTAGATCACCTAATTAGCTTAGCTGTGCTTTTGGCCCACACCACACTAGTTGCATATACCTACCACTCCTCAATCCTATCTAGACATTTCAGGGTTCCCAGCAACCCTAAACTGAATCACTGGTACATTCTAGTCAATAGTCAATAAATATTTACTAGGTGCCCAAACAAAACAAAACAAACAAAAAAGAGATGAGGGGTAGCCACACAATAAAGTCACCTCAATGAGCATCCAGAAACACACTGTGGAACATTGAAAGCCTCTAGGCAAGAATCCCAAAATCTATCCTTGATTTTTTTTCAGGGAGGGGAGAGTCCAAGTTCCATATCTATAACTACATGTCTCCATCCATATGAACCTTCATAATCAAGTTCAAAAGAAATCATCATAATCTGCATAAAACTTCCTTTTCACTCCTTTATTTATGTTACTGGCACCATTCACAGAACCCTGAAATTGGAAGGGACCTCAGAGCCCATAGAGTTCTTTTGCTGTTCTCAAATTTCACATTTTTATTCATTTATTAAACCCAGCATGATTTCATGCAACATGAGGGAAAGCTTTAACATTTTTTAATTATGTGTAGAATTGTGCAGATGGCTTTTGGAAAACCTTTATTCTCAGCAGATGAAAAAAGATAATTTTCATTTAGAATTTGAGGCCTTCTTTTTTTCCATTTTCTATAATCCACATTAACTGAGTGGCTTGTACTGACAAATAGGATTCAGTTTGTTCCAAGGTTCTGGATTGTTCTGTCTGTCCCAACTAACATCTGGATTGAATGCTGACAGATGCAAGACTAACTCCCAGCTCCAATAAACACAAAGAGACAAATAAAGTTTGGGTGTTTTGTGGTCTGACTGAGGATCTGAGCAAAGTATGGTACTCAGAGCTCAGGGACTGAGCAGCTGCATTTGTTCACTTGTTGCTTGCCATCCAAAGTCACCATAGAGAAAAAAGAAGAGGAATCAGGAGAGGGGCATGCTTCCAGAGAGACTATCTTCCACCTAAGGACCAAACCCGTACAGTTCAATCTATCCCTAAATATGAATCCCCGTCTTCAATGGTTCTAAGAGGTATTCTCTAGTCTTTGCTTTTAGGGTGGGAGGGACTTTAAAGGATAACTAATCCAAATGTTCTTTTTACAATAAAGCAATTGAGGCCTACAGGGATTAAACAACTTCCCAAAGGCCACAGAAATACTCATTTGCAGAGTCAGGATTTGAAGCTGGGTTTTCTGATTCCAGATGCAGAGCTATGTTTAATATACCATGTTGCCTCCCTGCTTAAAGAACTCCATTCGGGAAACCCATTCCCTCTCATTGTCACCCATCCTACTTTAGGACAGCTCTTTCTTAGTTAAGTTTCTTAAGCCTACATTTTCCTCTACTATTGTCACCTCGTTCCTAGTTCTGCCCTGTGGGACCAATTAGAAATAGTGCAAGGCTTCTTCCACATGATAATCCTTCAAATTAACCTTAAATAAAGAGTAAGTGAATTCTGCACCACTTCAAGTAAAGGCTGTATTATTATTTACATATACAATATGTTCTGGGATGAGCCTGCCTCAGGCAAGTCTCCTAGTAGTCTAGGTTTGATATTGGAACAAAATGAGGCATTTATGGGTCATTCAATAGTTAACCAAAAAAAAATACTTCACGATAGCAAGAAAAGATATTCAACAAGGACAGGCATTGAGAACAGCTGGAATTGGTTCAGCTGAGTAAAGCTCCCTTGTCTTCAGTTATCCAATGAGATCCACTAGCCAAGCATCAGAGCACCACCCTGGAATTCAGCATGACTGCTTTTTTTGTACTCAGAAGATGAGGAAGTGTTGTCAGAAGTCTTAGTCTTTAGTCCCCTGAGCCAACCAAGTCTCAAAGTAGTTTTCAATACTTTTTAAGGAAAAAAAAACTCTAGCCTTGGTGGCCTTTGAAGATCAAATACTGCAGTCAGCCTAGATATAGACTCTACCAAAAGTTCAGGACAAAGCAATAGTAGTTCTGATACCTGATACCTGTGCTCAATTCTGAATAAAATATGTTGGTGTCATTGAGAAGGTGAAACTCAGTGATGAGAAAAGTCTTGAATGGCCACTAAATCTAATAAATCACATTGATGTGGCACAACTAGATGGAAAGTTGCCATTTGTTCCTCTGGAGGAGAAGTTTATTATGGGAGTTTCTAAATATGGCATTAAAGTATGAACCTAGCTTCACTTGCATGGGGGGAAGGGCCAAGATATTGTTTCTACCACAAATATGACATATTGTCAATGGGATTCCTGTTCATTTATAAATAAGACTAGAGCATCTATGATGCCCATTCCAACTCTGAGAGGTGATAATTCTATGATTCTTCTCATCAGCTATGCTTGAAACACCGAAGTCATCTGTGACTTCTTCATCAACACCCTGTCCACAATCAGGAATATTTCATCCACTGACCTGTTGACTACAAAATCTAATTCCTGCCACCATCACTGTAGTTCTGGATGGGTTATTTTTTGCTCAGAATTTCTGTAATAATTTCTTAAATTATTTCTCTTTTCTGTCTCCCTTCTTCAAATCATCTTACACAACACTGCTTAGTATAGTATTTAAAGCCAAAGGCAGGCTCTCTGTTTTTGGTCTTATTTCACCCTACTGCCTTTTACTCAACCTATGATCTAGTCAAATTAGACAGCTCAGTGCTGACCAAATACATTCCATGTTCTCCCTCCTCTCTATTTTTGATCATATCATGTTCCTCATACCCATCAATCAACAAAAAGCTTACATTCTACTGCGGGGGAAAACCTGTATGAATATAAGTACAAAACAAATTCAAAGTTGTTAAACATTAGGTAATTGAGCAGGGAGGCACAGTTAAAATCTATTAATCCTCTAGTTCAAATTTCACCTCCTTCATAAAACTATCTCTGGTTCTGTCTACCTGGTCTCTCTCTCCTCTAAAGCACCATCAACTTTTTGCCTCTTTAATGCATTTAACCATAATTCATGTTAGTGAGTTCGTCTCCTCTCCCATGGGTTGCCACTAACTTGAAGCCAAGGACCATGTCTTACTCATGCTAGCATTCCCCTCAATGATATGGTAAATATCAATAAACGATCAATGAATGAACGAATGGATGGATGGAGGAGTGGATAGACGAATGGATAAACACCCATCATTGCTTGTCACATAGGAAGTACTAAATAAGTCTTCATTGATTGTTGATGATTGATACATAAATAAAAGTTTTCCCCCATCTTCCCACTCTTTCTCCAAGGCAAATGCCCAATGGTTTATCTATCTATCTATCTATCTATCTATCTATCTATCTATCTATCTATCTATCTATCTATCTATCTATCTATCTGTCTGTCTGTCTGTCTGTCTGTCTGTCTGTCTGTCTATCTATCTATCTATCTATCTATCTATCTATCTATCTATCTATCTATCTATCTATCTATCTACCTACCTATCTAATCTGTGGATTAAGTGGAATAAGTGTTTTTCCCAATTCAATGAAATAGAAAAACTTGTCCATTAGGCAGGTTTCCTAGTAGGAACAGGGGGAAAAACCTTGGGAAGTGACTCTATTCATCAATACGAACTAGTTTAATATTATATTATAATATTACTTTGGTTGTTTACTCGGGTCAAACAAATGACTTCAGGACCTCATTAGCCTAGGAGTGAATGTGGTTTCAGTATATTTTGTAGTATACTCTCCCTATTGGAGTCTTTATAAACATATCAGTATGGGAGGGTATATAGCCTTAAAGGATTAATATATGTTAATGTTTGTAGGTGGAACTTGGATTGTATTGTTAGCTCTGATATGGTATGTGTCTTTGACAAGGTCCTGCATCCATTTTTATCATCTTTAAATCATACTCACTTAGAACATATTAAATCCCTATAGTGCTACCTACCTGCCTACCCCCACATGATTCTGTTTCCTTTTAGCTTTTCTCCCAATGTGTCTCAAAAGATAAGATTTTTTTTTCCATTGAAGTTTGGGAGGATAAAAAAGCACTATGTGATTCAACTCACCCACAGAGGAGATGTCAACACAGTGTTCATCACTTGAGTCACGAGTCATGGCCTCAGTACGACTCCTTTTGATGGTTGCCCTTCGGAGCACTACATTCATGGGAGAGAGAAATCTACTAAGTGACCATGTAGTATAATTAAAATATCCTATCCAAATTCAAACCATTATATCATCAAAAACTCTAATTAACATGTATCTAATTCTTCCTATTCTTGTGGATGAGATTTTAGTTTGCTATTCTCTAACATGAGATTATGTCTGCTTCCACTCCTGATGCAGGCTATCATCTACCATCTTTCCTGAAGCAACTATGGGTATAAGGCAAGGAATACAGAACCAAGATGTTTAGAGTAAAAGAAATCCTTTATCCCTTGCTCATCATTCCAGAATCTCATCTCTCTAAAGCTTAATTTATATACAACAAGCACAGTAGTATCACCGATGTCTTCATCTTCAGTACCTCATCATCGACACCAGCCACTCAGCCTGAATTGATCAAAAGGCAATCCACACTGACTGTTAAAAGACAGCCTCAACCCGTGCCATATTGCCATGGCCTGCTCATTTTGCATGCTCATTACATAATCTGGGCTTCAGTCCTAGTGCTTCTGATATATCGCACCCTCTGGAATAGAATATCTCCTGGATTCAATTCTCAGTACTTTATGTAGCTTACAGATTTTCCTGTAATTCCTTTCATTCTAGAACACCATGGACTGTATGATAGAAGAACTCTCTCTCTCTGAAGTCCTAGGGCACATCTCTTTCTTTGATTTTTCCTTTTCTTTTTCATCAAGAGAGTTCGCAATTGGATGAAAAGGAATAAATGCCATGCCCTGATTTGAACATTTCCTTACCTTCCAAAGCTGATGTTCCAGAATTTTTGTTTTCTTCAGCCAGCATCACTTCCTCTATGTGAAAACAAATGTTTTAGCAAATTATCTCTAAATGCAGTCATCTTGCAAAATGAAAACCCCTTAGGAACAGCTCCGCAATAGAGAAAGAGCAATAAACTTCATAGATAGCCACCAGAAAGAGAGAGAGCACAAAAGCAAACAGGCCTACAAGGTGAAAGTAAGATGAGAAAGGAAAAAGTTATAAATGTGGAATTGTGGGAAATGCCAGGAAATATACAGCTATGTGTATGACCTCTATTTCCTTCAAGGTGGATATATGTGAAGAACTAATTAGTCAAAAGGCTTTAATAAGAATAAAAAACCCTTTTCCACAACTGAATTGCCACTAAGTTTCCTATCTTTTCTACTTTTTTGAAATTAACTATCAGGTATTCGCTTCCATAGCTTATCAAGTCTTTTGGTTCGTTCATATAATTGCAACTTTTTCACATTTGTCCAGGTGCTAAGAGAATGTTCTGGGTTTCCAGGCAATACTCCATTCTTGCCATGTCCATCCCACTTTTCCTTGGAGAGAGACTGGGACATTCACCCCATGGTTGGCTGAGGAATCCCATAGGGAAGAGTAGGACTCAGGCCTCCTCCATGTATTGCCACAGTAGTAAGCACCTTTCCACCAGAAAATCACAATTAGCAGGGCAATCTGGAACTTATAAATAAGTTCAGCAGATTTCCTGTGAGGAATTTTGATCCAGGGATTCCCCCTTGGTCTCCCCTAAGAATAATCCTGGATATCATAATGTATTCACCCTTGGTCTACTTGAAAATATTTAAAATGAACTTCATCTATGTTCTATTTAAAAAAAAAACAAATTAGCCCTCAAAAAATAATTTGCTCCTTCCACCATTCCCCTCAACCTACCATCTTGTACTTCTCCTTTATTTCTCACATGAATTCCTAGAAAAAAAAATCATCTATACTTATTATTTCCATTTCTTTTCCTCTTACTCACTTCTCAACCTTTTACAATCTGGCTCTTGACCTCCCTCATTACTCAAATGAAACCACCCTCTTAATGACCAAGTCTGATGGCTTTTACTCAATCCTCACTCTTCTTGACATCGCTGGCTCATTTGACATTGTTCACCATCCCTTCCTCTTAGATGTGCTGCCCTCTCTGGGTTTTCATGACACTGCTTTTTCTTGGCTCTCCTGCTACCTATCTGACCTTTCCTTCTTGTTCTCCTTTATTAGATGATCATCCATATGATGACCCTTAATTGTAGGTATATTTCTGGGACCTTTGTCCCGAGTCCTCTTCTCCTGTCTGTCTTATGCTTTCTTTTGATGATCTCATCAGCCTCCATGGGTTTGATTATCATCTCTATTCCAACTGACTCTCAGATCTGTCTATCCATCCCTAGTGTCTCCCCTGAGCTTTCCATGACTCTTAAACTACCTTCTGAACATTACAGACTTGTAAGCATCTCAAACTAGACATGTCCAAAACCGAAATCATTATCTTTTCCCCAAAATCCATCCATCTTCTGAATTACCTATTTCTGTCAGGTGTGCCTATAAACTTCCATGTAAAAATTTGCAACCTCAATGTCATCCATGACTCCTATCACACTCATTCATCCTATATATTCACTCAGTTGTCACATCTTGTCAACGCTACCTGTAAAACATTTCCCACATTCATCCTCTTGCTTCCACTAACGCAACACTACCTAGTTCAGGTGCTCATTATCTCTCATCTATATTACTGCCAAAGCCTCCAAACTGGTCTCTATACCCTAAGTGTATTCCCACTCTAAGACATCTACCATACAACTTCCAAAGTGATTTTCCCAAATCTCAGGTCTACCTATGTCCCTCTTTCACTTAACAAAATTCAATGTGTCCTCATTAACATCTAAAATGAAATACAAATTTTTCTGTTTAGAATTTAAAGCCCTTCATAAACTAATTTCACCTTACCTTTCTGGCTTTATTACATTTTATTCTACTTTATAGCTAATGCAATTCAAGCAAACTGGACTTCTTGCTGTTTCCCACCATTGCCTTCCTGACTCCATGCCTTTTGTACTGGCTGTTCCTGATGCCTTGAATGTCCTCCCTCCTCACCTCCATCTCTCAGAATCCATAATTTAAGATGCAGCTCAAGTGTTAGCTTTCTACATGAACCCTTTTTTGATCCTCCTCCTAAGTGGCTAATGTCTCCCTATACTACCTTGAATCTATTTTGTACATATCTGGATGAGTACACAGTGTTTCCCATAGACAAAATGCAAGCCCTTCACAGAAAGAGACTGCTTCATTCTTGTCTTTGTATTTCTGGGGCCTAGGATGGATGGTATGTAGCACAAACATAATAGATGATTCCTTCTATTTCTTGTGTATGACGTTCCATCTTCTGGGGAGTCTGATGTTTCTATGTGCTTTTGCCGTCGCCATCATCTCCCAGGTTCATAGAATCCTTCTCATCCTCTAAGACAGAGCTTATATACCACCTTCTACAAGAAGTCTTTCCGGATCCAACCCTTAACCCCAGCTGCTAACATGTCTTCCTTTCCTAACCACCTTGTATTTAACTACAGTGTATTTGCTTTGTAATTATTATAGTATAAACATGTAGAATATATATATATATGTAAATATCAATATACCTATTGTTGACACTAATAAAACATAAGCTTCTTTAGAGTAAAGGCTGTTTCTTTATTTGTTTTTGTATATCCTAATGCCTAGCATAAAGACAAAGCCAGAAATGCAGTTGCTATTTAATAAATGTTTGTGTATAGACCAGGAATGCCTGTTAAGTGACTGATTGATAGTCTTACTCATAAAAGATGTTAACAAAAATCTGGTGGGTTCCTAAAATCACAGGATCATGTGTCTAGAGTTGGAATGGACCTCAGAGGTCATCTAACCGAAACCCCTCCTTTTATGGATGAGGAAATGAAGGCCTAAAAAAGTTATTAAATTACTTCCCAAGATCACACAAGTAATAATCATCAGAAGTATGATCTGAATTGATATCCTCTGCTATTTATCCAGGGCTCTTTCTTTCTGTTGACTATCTAGCTAGTATGGCACAGTTCTGACCTATAGTCAACCTAAGCACTCAGCCCAATAGTCATGGTGCTAGAAAAATATTATTCTAGGCTTGCAATTGCCAAACAGATATATTAAAGAACCTATTAAATAGCTAAACTAAAACATTGATAAACCATAGAAATACTAGTAAGAGAAAGAAAAATCACAACCCTAATTCCATCCTGCTAATCTACATGTATATTCTACATCATCCAGGGAGCAAAATGTGTTATGGTTCTGGTACTTTAAACAAAGTATGTGTGTTATGCTTAGTCATAAGATTGATAGGTTTTCCTTTTTAAAACACGGCCTCCAGCTAAACTCTAAGTCAACTTAAAGGTCAAGAATGATTGACAGGATATCACACACAATTTAAGAGAAGTTTTAGGGTCATATAATAGATTTAGGGGGCATGCTATAGTTATTGCATTATGGTACTTGAAATATTTTTTGCAAGCCAGTTAATTGCATAATTTTCTGATATTCACCTTTATAGTACTTAGTAAATAGGTGAAGTCTATGTGTGGGCTTTGGGGCAAACAGTGTATATGCTGGTTGTCCATTGTCTCAGAAGTTTGCTAAAGTGTTCTGTGTATAGGGAAAATACTCTCCAGTTTAATCTGCCAAGTATTCCTTTTCTGTTCACTTTCAACCATGCATATATTCCCAGGGAAATGCAACCCATATGTCTCTGATTTGCTCATGTTCACTCATGATGGGAAGGGTGAGAAAGAGCAATTTGATGTTGGCTTTGTGTTTTTCTTAGAAAGAGGAGAATGTCAGATTTTGCCAAATGAAAGGAAACTTGAACCATCAAAACCTTAGTGGGATTTTAAAACAAAGACCCAAAAAAGAAGCGTGTTACCTTGGCATATTCATCCTGGGGCCACTATGGAGTTGGGGAGTGAGATTCTAACCTTGGTCCTGTCCCTTGAATTCATGCTTGTGGTCTGTCAGATGAGATCCATGCCCAAGGAACCCAGGAACACATGGAGCATTTAAAGCAACTGCCCAGCTTCATAAACAAATATACTCAATCTAAGCAAAGGACTGGGCTACCATTTGGGGAATATGTAAGGAGATTCATTTTTACTCTCCGTCTCCCATATTAGTAGATAAAGGGAAAAGATGCAATGAAAGTACAGCCAACCTCCAATTCCTCAAGCTAATAGAGCAGGAAATGAGATACAGGTGATTTCAAACAGAAGGCAATATTGAAGTAAGTTATGCCTGGCCCTAGAATGAACTATTCAACTAGACATGTACTAATACATACAAAAAATATATACCCAGTCGTGAAAAATGGCATGATGTAATAGATCGAGAGTTGAAATCAGAGTCAGAGAGCCTGGGTTCATATCCTGTCTCTAACATTTACTGTGGAACCATGGGTGGGTCAATTCACATCACTAAGCCTCAGTTTCCTCAGCTGTGCAATGGTATTTCTTTCTGTGCCCATCAATAAACATGATACCTGCCACCCTGGAATTGTTGTGAGGTTCAAACAAGATTGTGAATTTAAAGTGTTTTGCAAACTTGAAGTATGATAGCCTTAGTTAGTATTATCATCATTATTGTACATAACCATTTCATCTAGTCCAAATCCTTTCATGGCTCAGCTCAATGGAGTTTTAGAAACTCAAAGCTGGAAGAGATTCTCAGACTCCATTAAATCCAATTCAAACCTGAAAAAGAATCCTGGCTACTTTTTCAACAGGTGGCCACCCAGCCACTGATTGAAGAATTCCAATGCAAGGGAACCCCTATTTCCTGAGGCAGCCCATTTCACTTCTACATAGTTGTAATCATCAGCAAGTTTTTCCTTCTATCAAGTATAAATTTGCCTCTCGGCAACTTCCAACTACAGTTCCTTGTTCTGCCCTCTAGAAACAAGCTGAACAAGACTCTTCTGGGACTAGCTGGTTGCAAGGAAGGCTGTTGATAACCTAATGGTGGCTGTTCAAGATCAGCTTCACCACTTAGCCTGAACATTTTTTTTTCCTCAATAGACTCAGGAAGCCCAAACATCAACAAATACTCAACTGAAACTGGTCACTATAAAGTCATCCATGACATACTAATCATTGGCTGAATGGCTTTTTGTAAAAGTCGTCATCTTCCTTGACCAGTAGATAGCACTTTTTTAATTGCATTTTTAATTCATTTGCATGGCTTTTATGCATGGAGGGGTTTTTTTGTTTGTTTGTTTTTGGCTAGGCAATGGGGTGAAGTGACTTGCCCAGGGTCACACAGCTAGTAAGTGTCAAGTGTCCTGGGCCGTATTTGAACTCAGGTCCTCATGACTTCAAGGCTGGAGCTCTATCCACTGTGCTACCTGGCTGCCCCTGGATGGCATTTTAAATATTTGAGTTGCCCTTTCTTCCAGAAACTCTCTCCTTGATTGGTTTCACTATCACACAATGCTCTTCCTCCTCCTTCTCTTTCTCATCTGAGTCCCTAAATGTTACCATTCTCCTAGGTTCTATCCTTGACTATCTTTTGTCACTACACCTTCTCCTTTAGAGATTTCACCTATTCCTTCAGTTTTACTGCTTAACTCTAGGTAAATGACTCCCAGCTCTAGATCTCTAGGCCTAGCTTTTCACTTGTGTTCTAAACCAAAACTTTTAGCTACAAATTCAGCTGATGGGTAAGCGTCATTTTCCAGCTTGGGTCACGTCATTTCCCTGTTTAAAACCCTTTAGTAGTTTCCCATCACATACAAAACTAGGACAAACCTCTTTGTCTATCTTTCTATCTGTTATAGACTCTGTCCTCTGTTCATTTGTCAAACATCAGCTCCTACTATTCCCTTCTTATACCCCATAATCCAGCTATCACCATGCCCTAAACACACACCATGCTTTTCTATTTCTGTGCTTTCTTCCTGGAATGCTCCTTTCTCCCATTTCTGCCCATTACAATCCTCATCATCCTTAAAGGCCTGAAAACACACTACCTCCTTCAGGAAACCTTTCATAACACCCTCAGCCAGAAACACATTCTTTTTACTCACTGTTCCAATAGCATTTCATTTGGAACTCTCTTATAATTTTTCTGCCTTATGTTAAAGTTGTTCGTGCATCTTCCCTATTACATTATAAGCTCCTTGAAGGCAAGCATTATGTCTTATTCATCTTTGTATATGAAACACAGCCAAATACAGTGATTTTCACATAGTTGGAAATAAATGTCTGATAAATGAAAATAAATTACCCTGAGAGGAAGCAACAATTCTGTATTACTTCTTTTCTCAAGGAACATAGAGAAGTTGATAATTGGCTGTCATGTGGATTCTTTTTTCTTTTTTAGCATTTTCTCAGGAAGATGACACAGAATATCACAGAAACCCAACCTTAAAAATTAAAAGGGAACCAAGTTTATTCTGGCTTATAGAGAGAGATGGCTTTACTCACAATGATCTGAGTGTCAGTTCAATCAGAAACTGGTGAGTTAATGTGTTAACACAGACATGATGAGACTTAGCCACTTCCCCACTACCTGGCCAATTTTTCTGCTGCTAAGCCACTAAGCAGAACAGAACATAGATGGGGTGAGATATAAAAATTCTGTAGAGTGTCCTTGAAAATCCCACTCCTGCCCTCTCCCCTATCCCTTAGCTTCTAGGTCTATGCCAGAACTAAGTTCAACATCTCCTGGAAAGTTTGATGGAGAAATATGGAGACAGAGTCACCGACTTTATAGTGAAGGGCTAGTTATGGTTCCAGGGAGCCTAAAGAGGTAATATCCAGCATTTGATAGTTTCCTGCAGCTCAAGGATGTGTTGACTTTGTAAGACAAAGCAGCAGGGGTCTCACTAATATGAGTGTGACCTTTAAACTCTGCACTCCTTTTATGTAATTACTTATATCCCCTTAGACTATGAGCTCCATGAGTGCAGAAAGTTTATCCTACCTAAACTTCCTATCTCTTTAGAGCTTAATACTAGATTCTGCAAATAGCAGGTAAGTAATAACGATTTGGTAAAACTCCCCAAATTTCTTAGTCCCATTGATTCTTACCTGCTTTGTCTATCCAGGCTCGATACCCATTCAACTCCCGTTCAATTTGTTGCTGTCTCCGCAGTTTCATAAAGGCTCTGCGGTTCTCCACTCTCTCTCTTTCTTTGGCAAATTCCCTGTGAACAAGGAAGTTGAAATGGGTTTATAAGTTAGGGTAGATTACTGAGAGGAATGGTTGAAGTGGTAGAAGGAGGAAGAAGATGCTGAGCAGGTATGTTTGGACATGTCTTACTCCCATTTGAAATACTTTCCTCACTCCCCTCCCCAGCTCTTTTTTTAAATTCATCTGTCATTTTGACTATTACAAATAGCCAATTAACTACAAAAGACATATGAAGGAAAACACTATTTGTATCCAGAGAAAGAACTAATAAATAGAAATATGTATAGAATGATTTTACATATATGAGTGTGTGTATGTATGTGTGTGTATATGTCTAATAGTAACCATCTCTAGGGAGAGTGGGAGGGAAAAAAGAAATTTACATGATAACTTTATTATATATTTAAAAGAAATAGCAAGTTGTACATAACAGATTTGCAGTTTCATATGCAGTCATCTTTTTATTATACTGTTATGGAAATTATTGTTTTATTCCATAAATTAAAAATAAAATAAATTAAAGGTAAAAAAAAATGTGTCTCTGCTCAACTGATAGATGAGTATAATCTTCCTACATACAACTTTGGTCATGTCATTCTTCTGTTTAAAAATACCCACTAAGGGCATCGTGCTTGATTAATCCTATTTCACTTTGGTCACTCCACCTCTTTATGTTCTCTCAACACTAATATACTCTATTTAAACTATGGCAATCAGTGCTTTCATATTTACTTTTTTGTGACCACCCAGTACTTAATACAGTGCATGGAATACGGTCAATACTTAACAAATGCTTGTAGATTGATGATTTTTCTTGTTTAAAGACTGTATTTTCCTAAATAGAAGGTTAGCTCTTTTAAGGCAAGAAGTATATTTTTTTTATAGTTGAACGATCTCTACACACAGTGGATGTTCAAAAAGTATTGGCCCAGGGAGATGATATGAAGAAAAGATGCAGAAGTATCCAACCCACAAGGGACAAATCAACATTCTACCCTGCCCCAAATGTGTTTGATTATGTATGAAAGAGTGAGAGAGAGTGAAGAGTCAGGTATGCCACCAAATGAGTCAGCTGACCCAAGGTCACTCATCTTCCTGCCCGCCATGTATTTCCCTATGTCCATCCCCACCAAGGTAAAATAGAACCATTTGTTCCCCTGGACATGGTTAAGGGCATGAAAGCGAGAATGAATTATTTAGAAGAAATTTGTTCCACTACAGCTTGACTTTATGTTGAAAGGAATTTACTAAAGGTATAATAAAGGTAGAGAAGTAAGGAAAAGGATGGTGAATGAGCAGTGGTATGCTGATGAATATTTAACAAACAGCTCTCCAGGGTAAAACAAAAAAGAAGTACCCGTGATGGACTTTTAAGTTAAATTGTATTATTAGCATTTTTCTATCACTTTATTGTCTAGACAATTGACAAAATAATAAATCAAGTCCCTGATTTGTAGCATTTGCTGATTTCCAAGGTGTTAATGATGTCACTGAAAATGTAACGATAGTTAGTTGGTTTGAGCTGTGTTCAGCATACCTCTGAGAATGAAGGTTATGCTGGGGGAGTGGGGCTATGATAGGGATGTGAAAAAGACAAGAGATGCTCTAGGCCCTAGGAAAAGCCAACCTTCCCATAGAATAGTAGAGACCAAGTTAGGAATGTGGGTGTGAGGGGGTGTCATGACAAGATTCAAGCTATGGAGAATCCTCTTTTTTCCCATTTTCCTTTATGAATCTCACAGTTACAGAGCTGACGTACTTGTGTAACATGGAAAATAGTGACAAGTGCCTAGGATTATCCCAGAGAACCATGTTCTCCAGGTGACCATGCTAATGTGGAAATATATTTTGCATGACCTCACATGTATAATCCATATCATATTGCTTGCCTTCTAAAGGAACAGGGAGGGGTGGAAGGGAGGGAGGGAATTGAAACTCCAAATTTTAAAAAATAAACGTTAAAATTTTAAAATTCAATTGAGAAATATTTAATAAAATAAAGAAAAATATATTTAAAAAGAAAAGAAATGGGACATGTCCTTAATAAATATACTTCTCACAAACTAACTACCTAGCAAGAAAAACAAAAACAAACAAAAGAAAAACAAAGGAATACAACACAGTGCAGTGGGAAAAGAATTAGAAGGTTTAAAGTTAAAAAAAATCTGCTTTCAAATCTTGACTCTGCCATTTTAACTATCTGTGTAGCGGTAAGACAAGCCAATTTACCTTTTTTGGCCTCAGATTCCTTGCATGTAAAATAAGGAGATTGATTTAAAGATATTTCAATCCAATCAAGGATCAATCAATAAGCATTTATTTAGCATTTGCTATATGCCAGATGCTATCAGAAGTCCTCAGGTTAAAATGACAAAAATCAAAGTCTCCTACTCTTAAGGAGCTTATAGTCTATTGAAGAAGACAACAAATACATACATATGTAGGTAAAATAAATATCAACAAAATAAATACAAGGGAATTAGGGAGGGAGGACATTAGCAGTTGTTTGGGGGGAGGGTATCAGAAAAGGAATCTAAAGTGAAAAAGAAGGCATTGTTTGAGCTATGCCTTCAAGAAAGACAGGGAAATTAGGAGGCAGACGTGAAGAGAGAGTGCATGTGACACTGGGGACAGGCAGGACAAAGATGCGGATAGATGGAACACCTAGTGTGAGGAACAAAGAACAGGCCAGTTTGCAGGATTGTAGAGCACAGAAAAGGAAATAATACATAATTAAGCTGCAATGAAAAGTTGGGGACAGGATGTGAAGAGCTTTAAAACCCAAACCAAAAAAAATGTATATACAATCCTAGGTTTCACAGGGAGCCAATGGATTTTCTTGAGGAATAGAGTGTCATGGTAAGGTGTGCATTTAAGGAAATAATTTTGGCAGATTTGTGAAGGATGGATTAGAGAGGGGAGAGGATATAGTCTGAACTATAGTGGTGGTTGTGTAAGTAAAGGGAAGGGTCAGATATTTACAGAGATAAAATGGCAAGATTTGGCAACTGACTGGATATGTGGGGCAAAGTAGAGTGAGCAGTACAGGATAATGCTGAGGATATGAATCTGGAATACTAGAATAATGTGGTGCCTTTACAACAGAAATAAGGAAGTTTGGAAAGGGGGTAAGTTTTGGGGAAAGATAATAAGTCCTGTTTTGGGAATATTGAGTTTTAGATGTCTCAGGGGCATCTAATTAAAAATGTGCAACAGGTAGTTGTCATTAGGGAACTGAAACTCATGGGAGAAACTGGAGCTGGATCTATAGATCTGGGATTCATCTATACAGAAAGGAAAATGAAATCCATGGAATTTCATGAGGAGAGAGAAAGAGAAGAGGTGGGGAGAGAGAGAGAGAGAAGAGAGAGAGAGAGAGAGAGAGAGAGAGAGAGAGAGAGAGAGAGAGAGAGAGAGAGAGAGAGAGAGAGAGAGGAAGAAGAAGGAGGAAGAGGAGGAAGAGGAGAAAGCCCAGGAATATTGTGGTTAAGGAGCACAATTGAGAGGTCAGGAAGAGAACCAGGGAAGATTACTGTCATGAAAACCCAGAGAGAAGAGAAAATTCAGGAGGAGGTGTTTAGCATCATTAAATTCAGCAGAAAGGTCGTGAAGGTTCGAAGACTGAGAAAACACCATAATATTTAGCAATTAAGATCATTGGTAACTTTGGAGAGAGTGGTTTCAGTTGAGTAATGAGGTCGGAAACAATGATATACCAAGCAGGCAGAATGGGAAAGATACCTAATATTGCGAACCCTGCTATATTCCTATCAAGCATTTCTCTTGAGCTACCCACCACATCTCACAATAAGAACCTGTCCTATGACATGGAGATGAGAGGCTAGATGAGATCGCTAGCTCTGAACCACAGCTGTGGCTGCCCCTTTTTGGGCCTCCAGCTTGAGGCAGAGGAGTGATCTGACACCTAATTGGGGCTGTTTAGCTCTGAATTCCTGCTGCTTCCCTTCCCTTGCTCCATACACCTCTGTATTTGTGAGTTCCTTCTATCTCAGAGTTCGAAAGTCAAATCCACTGGGCTATATTGAATTAGTATGGCTTTCCCTCAACAGCTACTGTCTCACTTCATCTAGTCAAACTCTTTTGAGACTGTAATGGGGAATGTGTCACAGTGGGGTGGGAAGGAACTATAGGCAAGTAGGAAGCCTTCTTTGCTACAAAGCTGTTAATGTTTTGGGGCATTTTGGTGTTAATAATAATAATTACATTCATTATGTAAAAATGAATTGAGTAGAAAGCTTTCAAAGTACTTTAAATACATTGTCTCACTGGAGCCTCAAAAAAACCTGAGGCAGGTACTACTGGTATTATTATCTCCATTTTGCAAATTAAAAAAACTGAGTCTCAGAAAGGGATTTGCGCAAGGTACTGTGTCTACCAAATGTCAGATGCTGAATTTGAATCCAGGTCTTCTAAATCTCAAGTCTACCTACTATTATTTTTAAGTCTACCCACTATTTAATACATTAACATTACTATTCTGGTATTTAACAAATGGCTGAATTCATGTTTGGGATCCCAAAGCAGAAATTTATATGAAAATATGAAAATGAAATACATTGGAGTTCACATTTCAAACCTACAAGAAGGTTTAATTACAAATTAAGATTGGTAGAGTGAAGTATAATGACATGCATCTTCCTCAAAGGGTTTTCTTATCCCTCTTGGCAAGCAGCAAATTAAAAACATTTTGTGCTATGCGGAGGTATGATAGGTCAAGAATTTGGCTACATTTCTGAATCCTAGTCCAATCACAGAACTGCTGCTGACTTGTGTCCCAGTCATAATCCTGTTTCCTAATATATGAACTTTGTAGTTAACATTTGCAGGGGACTGGTCTCATAAACATGGGAAAGTAGAGGAGTGTCACTATTATGTGTTGCAGATTCCTCCTTCTCTGTTGCACCAACACTTGCCAATCTTGGGTTTCAGTATAACCGCAAAGAATAGGAGCATCAGGAACCAGGCAAAGTAGGATAAGTTATTAAGAGCTAA